CCAGCTCCAGGGTGCTACCTTCCCTTCCCTCCTGCATGCTGCAGTAGTGAGAGGCAGAGAGGGCTGCAGAGAAAGCTGCCATGAAGCAGCCTCTGTTTGCGGCAAGCTTGGGCCCACTGCAGACAGAGGCTGGTCCCCTTTTTAAACTGGCTCCCCATAACTGATAGAGGCAGCAGGATAAGGTGGCAGGGGGCTCCCCAGGAGTGGGACCAGAACACACTGGCTGCCAGCCCCGCCCTGGAAACTATTGAATAGTTGACTAACTTAAGAATTCATGAGGTTACACGACTATTCTGTTACCTGCTATTTAACATCCCTAGTCAGTTCATGGCTCTGCCACAGACTGTGTGTAAGACTTTTGACCAGTCGTGAGGCCACCAGTGTGCTCATCTCCCTTGAAAACCTTCATCTCTGTAGGCTTCTCCTTCTGTAACAATCTTCAGTATTAGCCCCTTTTGTAAAATGGGAATAATAATCATTCCTTCCAGCTGTTGTCTGTCTTTTCTAATTACAACATGAATTTTTTGGGAGCAGGCACTGTTTCTTACTCTATGTACAGTTCCTAGCACTATCTAAGTTAAGTACATGACCCCATTTTCATCATAAATGAGGGCCTCGCTCTAAAGAGATTATATTGACTAACAACTCCCTCCGAATAGGCAAGTACTGCCCCCATTTTACAGATGGGGAACTGAGGTTCTAAGGAACTAAGTGATTTGCCCACAGACTCAACAGAAATCTGTGGCAGAGCAGAGAATTGACGTGTCTCCCTCCCCCCCCTCTCCAAGTCCCATGCTGTCCCTACTCAGTGTATAATCCTCATAATGGAGCCTATATCTCAGTTGTAACTTCTAGGTCCTGTCATAATGTAATACCTAATAATAGCACTGTATTTGGAGTGTTAACTGGATTCCACTGAAACCTACTTTCAGTTGTAGCTGAGTATTTTTTTTTGGTTTAGTTTGGTTTTTTTGGATGCAGGAATTTCCTTGTGTATATTTAAATGAGTCCAGTCCCAAAGGGTTAAACTCCTGTGTGGGTTTAGAAGGCATGCAAGAGAGGAGCCCGGCTCTCATAAGAGCCTTTGAGACCCACCAGAGCTGCAGAGATCAGCAAGGCCATAGGAGGGGATGTGTGACCAAGGGATATGTGAGATGTGAACTATGAGAGGTAAAGGAAGGGGAAGTGGGAAGGCTTCTATCTGAATAGTAAACTTTAAGCACTTAGCCTTTTGCTGGACCCCTCTTGTCTGCCCCGATGCCCCATGGCTTGCACCCACCTTCTCCCCCCTGCACTATTCCTTGCTAACTCCCTTTCTCCTCCAGAGGTCCCCACGTTTTTTCAGTCACCTTTCAGTGTCTCATCAGTGCCCTTCCTCCTCCTGTCTTCATCTGAGTCTGTAGAGCGCCACTCCATGTGTGCACTCCCACCCCACTCTTCCAACTCCCTCCCCTGGTTCATGTCCCTCCTTCGTTATTGCCAACCCGATGCGTTCAAAACCCATACGATTGGTTTAAATGGTGTGTGTGTGTGTGTGTGTATATATAATATAATATATATGGTTTGTTTTCTTTGCCTTTTGGTTTCTGAGTCACACATTCAAACTTTTCTCTGTAATCATGAGGGCTAGACTTTTAATTTAACTTTTAAATGAAAACCAATGCTCAGGTAATCACTTGAGTCCTGGAGTCAAGACTTTGAGGAAAAAATAACCAGCTATTGAGAGACTTGCGATAAAATTGCAAAAAATCGACTACACTGCCTTCTGTGCCATGCTCTTTCCCACATTCGTGCTTCTCCATGTTCCCTACTTTGAAGTCCAGGCCCTGGCCTGCTACCTGTCCCCTCCATCCCCACCCCATCTGGCTCCGTCTACCAGCTAAATGCAGTTTGTTCATAAACCTTTCTCTGCATGCACTTTAAAAGCCCCAACCCTCCCAAAACCACTAAATGGCTCTTTGCATCAGCGAGGCTAGTGAGTATTTGGCCTACCATTTTAGGGCTATGATATAATACCTCACTCTTGTATAGGGATTTACAAAGTATCATTCTCCCCATTTTACAAACTGGGACACGGGAGGGGAAGTGACTGGCCTAAGGTCATTCAGCCGGCCAGCGGGTGAGGTGGAAATAGAACCCAGGCCTCTTTAGTGCTCTGTCTGCTGGGCCACACTGTCAGAATAAACAACCTCTGCTTTTGCAAGCATAGACCAAAGGCTTTTTTCAGAATACTCTAAATGGAAAAGTCCTACTCTGATAAACTTCCCGTAGGTACTGCCCCATGATGGGAAGCAGTGTGCAGAATTTCAGTAGAGTCAGTTTCTTTAGAGTGTGTGTGAGAGCGTGAGTGTGTCCAGGAATGTGTTATCTGATGCAGCTACTGCTAATGTCTATGGAATGACTTCTCTTGAGTTTAGTACGAGCACGATCTGGCCCACAAATGCCAGCTAGCTTTAGTCTCAACTGTGGACCAGCTGGCAATTCCCTCCCAACACACCTAGCCAGTAAGCACTAAATACTCTGATACGTTCATTTCACTTGCATTCACTAGGAAGTGGGGCCCAAGTAAAGACACCAAGCTAACGATTCCCTGTAGCAGTAGTATTAAATCCCTGGGGGTCCACAGTCAGTGTCTAAGATGTACAAAAGGGTCAGTGTTTCCATTTGAAATTTTTCCTATGGATCTGCATATGAAAAAAAGATTGAAAACTGCTATTGGAGAGCAGTGGTTCACAACCTGGGGTCTGCGGCGGTCCTATAGGGAGTCCTCACGGAGCTTCTTGCAGCCAGCATGTCCTTCAGCCACTATTGCTTCCCACGGCTTGGGAAGCAGCGTAGGCTGCTGTATTGTTGGCGGTGGGGTGGGGTCTGTAAAATGTTAATAGATTGAAAAGGGGTCTGTATCCTCAAAAAGATTGGGAGCCGCTGCTCTAGAGCAAACCCTTCCAGCCATTGTTGGCAGGTGGTTGGTATGAGGCCTGATTAATAGGCAGTGGCTTTGAAAAGGAACCCATCTAGCAGCAAGAGGCAGGAAGTTTGGGTTTTTTTGCAGCTTTCCTTTAGACACTTCTGGCCTGATGAGTTAGAGCTTTTCTACTGTTTGGCCGTTAACGGTGGTCCCATTGCCTAGCCTTCCTAGAAAACCCCATGCAAGAAACCGAATGGAGAGCCCCCCTAACTGTACCCTCCTACTGCCAGAGAGATATTTGAATGCTGTGTGATCCTGCTGCTGCACTCAGTGAAGTCAATGATAAAACTCCCACTGGCTTTCATTATAGGAGATCAGACCCTTTGAGCTAGTGTTTCATGATGAATTAACATTGGGAGAGCTTCTTCTGATCATGTCTTGCACAGGAGTTAGTGATTGCTAACTGCTTGCTGACAGAGGAGAAGGTGGCTCCATACACAAAGTCAAAGCTGACTGCAAATGCCCCTGAAAATGTCACCAGATGGTATTGTTGGCAACCCACTTGCTCCAGCTCATTACGTATGCTCCGTGTGTGCCGTTCAGGGCTGTCGCCTCATCTGCTCGACTTTGTGTGTCTCCCCATCTCTCTCCTATATATGTTTCTAGCACCAGCTGCCAGTTTGGCAGCTCCCAGTGGTCAGCAGCAAGCAGCTCATTTGTGAAACCTGTTGCATGTGTCGAAGAATGAGAGCATTTTGTATATGTTCATCTGCAGTGAATTTGCAAAGGAGTCACATAGTTCCTGCCTGAAAAGTATGTGAGAGAGAGCAGACCGTTAAACAGACTTACTAAAGTTTTGACTAATAACCCACTCGTGTGAAGTGCTACTGCATATACAGCGGCTTGCCTAGAATCACATTCTCAATGTATTCAATATCTGTAGAGAGAGAGAAGGAAAGATGTGAATCAAACCCCAACTCTGAGCTTGCCATTCATCCCACTCTGTGATGGGCCAAAATTGCTGCTAAATTTAATCACCTTGAACTCTGGGAAATTTTGGATTTGGATTTTAACCCTCCTAGTTCAGAAGTGTCCAGGTCATGAGCTTGTTTTGCTTGTGTTGTCCTCTTGGTACACAGAAGAGGCAGATGGGCCCTGAATCAAAACCATCATGCCACTAAAGTTTGGATGTGGATTTCAACAAGCTTGAAGCTCCAGTTTGCTGCGAATCACTGTTCTTGGTCAATGGGAGCTGCGGGAAGCAGCGTGGACTGGGACACTGCTTCCTGCAGCTCCCATGGCTCCAAGTAGTGATCTGCCATACTTGTGAGGGCACAGGTAAATGAAGCACCAGCAGCCTTCCAGGGGCTAACCCTGGTGAGCTGTGTCCAGCTTATTATCTACCACTGCTCAGATAGAAGGAAGGGGAGATATTCCACTGTGTGAAATATCCCTAAAATAGTTCCAGAGGGTCAGGTCCTGCAGTAAAGGACTTTTCAAGGAAGATGAGGGTACAGAGGATCATGCCTCTAGAACTGGGATAGGGAACTCTTTTTGGGTCCGGAGGGTGGGGGACAGGCTGACCCACAGAAAAATCAGTCAGGGGCTACACACAAGTGAGAAGCAAAAAAGAAGAAACAAACTCTCACTGACATGATCCCCAGCTGAGAAGGAGAAAGATGCTCCTCACATTCCCTTCACACGCCAGAGCCTGAGGGGGCCCAAGCTAGTAGATTTTGTGTGCTCCAGCCTCATGGTGGGACGGTGGGAGAGCTGGAATGCCAGTGCAGGGTCCCCAGTGCGGGGGGACCTGATCAAGGCAAGTCGGGGGCCTCCTCCAACCTCCAGGTCTTGGGTTCCCCACCCTGCTTTAGAATATAAAGTAGGATATCAGTTTGGGGCTCTCAGTAATGATCAGTAATGCTGAAGTATAAAATATGTGTTTCTATCGTGCACAACTTGACAATGTGGTTAAGAAATTTGATTGTCTTTAGACAGAAACCGTAGAGTGATCTGGCCTGTGTAATGATGTAAATGGATGTTTAAAGATAACGGCTGAATCTTTTTAACAGATTCTATCTTTTTGTTTCAGATGAGACTCCAATTATAGCTGTAATGATAGCCCTATCTTCCCTGCTAATCATCGTATTTATAATTATTGTGCTATATATGTTAAGGTAAGAAACACTTTTAACTTGTGATTTGACTTATGGGACATTAGTGATCTGTTCTCAGTCTCCTTAAATTAATTAGAACACAGTATTAAGCAGATAGATTGTAGCTATGATAGCTTGAGCCTTGTGTTCTGTTTCCTAAGCTAAACAGGGTTGGTTTAGCCAGTATTTAGAAAGGGGTCCTCCAAGAACAATGCAGGCAGTTTGCTAGTAATTGGGTAGACGAGCCTTTTTGCTCTTAGTCAGAGGTTCTCAAACTTCATTGATCATGACCCCCACCTAACACCAAAAATTACTACATGACTCCAGAAGAAGGGACCAAAGCCAGATCCCCACTAACTGCAGTGGAGGGGGGACAAAGCTTAAGTCCCACTGCCCCAGGCAGGATGGGGGGTAGCCTATAATCTGAGTCTTGCTATCAAGGACTGAAGCCTTCAGGCTTTGACCCCGGACGGTGAGCCTCAGGCTTCAGCCCCGGGTCCCAGCAAGTCTAAGCCTGCCCTGATGACCCCATTAACCCCTACTTCCTGGTCCCGACCCACAGTGTGAGAACTGCTGCTCTAGATCAGTATAAAGGTAAGCGGTGCAGTGCTACTAAAGATGGACTCTTTGAGTTTATAGACCTTGATCTTTTGTGCCATTAAAAGTCCACAGACATTTTTTGCAAAGGTCAGGGTGCTAATGGTCAAATTCAGTTTTGGGTAACTATGCACACCAACTAAAATCCCTCTGCATTTAGAGCTGGAGATGGGTTCCCCCCTCCTTCTCCTCCTTCCCCCCCCCCCCCCCCCCCCCCCACCCCCCCCACACTCATCCACCACCCATTAGTCCAGCAAAGTGATCAAAATGGCATTCAGCACATCTCAAAACCCATTGAAGCTAGTCTTTTCATAGAATCATAGAATAATAGGACTGGAAGGGACCTCGAGAGGTCATCGAGTCCAGCCCCCCGCCCTCAAGGCAGGATCAAGCTCCGTCTACACCATCCCTGACAGATGTCTATCTAACCTGTTCTTAAATATCTCCAGAGAGGGAGATTCCACCACCTCCCTTGGCAATTTATTCCAATATTTGACCACCCTGACTTTTCATAGAATCATAGAATAATAGGACTGGAAGGGACCTCGAGAGGTCATCGAGTCCAGCCCCCCGCCCTCAAGGCAGGATCAAGCTCCGTCTACACCATCCCTGACAGATGTCTATCTAACCTGTTCTTAAATATCTCCAGAGAGGGAGATTCCACCACCTCCCTTGGCAATTTATTCCAATATTTGACCACCCTGACAGTTAGGAATTTTTTCCTAATGTCCAATCTAAACCTCCCCTGCTGCACTTTAAGCCCATTACTCCTTGTCCTGTCCTCAGAAACCAAGAGGAACAAATTTTCTCCTTTCTCCTTGTGACACCCTTTTAGATATTTGAAAACCGCTATCATGTCCCCCCTTAATCTTCTTTTTTCCAAACTTAACAAGCCCAGTTCATGAAGCCTGGCTTCATAGGTCATGTTCTCTAAACCTTTAATTATTCTTGTTGCTCTTCTCTGTACCCTTTCCAATTTCTCCACATCTTTCTTGAAATGTGGTGCCCAGAACTGGACACAGTACTCCAGTTGAGGCCTAACTAGTGCAGAGTAGAGCGGCAGGATGACTTCACGAGTTTTGCTTACAACACACCTGTTGATACAACCTAGAATCATATTTGCTTTTTTTGCAACAGCATCACACTGTTGACTCATATTCAACTTGTGGTCCACTATGACCCCTAGATCCCTTTCCGCCATGCTCCTTCCTAGACAGTCGGACTCTGTTGACTTCAATGAGTTTTGCATTAGGCTTTGAAATAGTGGCCCTATTGTGCATGAAAGTGGATGCATTTCATAGGTATGCAAAGTGGTATCTCTATTCTGGAAAAAGCTTTGGAATCCTTAAAACTGAAAGATGCTGTAGACATGATATATTTTGATTTTTAGTAAAGCTTTTGACATGACACTTTCATACTCAAATTAGGGAACTGTCTAGGTGAAATTACTATAAAATGGATGTATACTTGGTTTAAAGACTATACTCAGAGTAATTATCAATGGTTTGCTGTCAGACAGGAAGAGCATATCTAGTGGGGTCCAGCAAGGCTCTGTTCTGGGTCCAGTACTATTTAACATTTTCATTAATGACTTGGATAGTGGAGTGAAGAGTGTGCTTATAAAAAATTGTAGATGACACCAAACTCTGAGGGAATACAAATTCAAATTCAAAATTATAGTGACAGTTTGGAGGATTGGGAAGAAATCCGGTAAGGACAAATGCAAAATACAACACTTGCGATACAAAAATTAAATACACAACTACAAAATGGGGATTAGTTGGCTAAATGGTAGTACTGCTGAAGAGGATTGGGGCTTACAGTGGATCACACATTGAATAAGAGTTCAAAATGTGATGTAATTGCAAAAAAGGCTGGGATCGTTCTGGGGTGTATTATCAGGAATATTGCGTATAGCACACAGGCAGTAAGTAACTGGCCCACTTGTTCAGCAGCCATGAGGCCTTAGCTGAAATACCGTGTCCAGTTCTGGGTGCCATGCTTCAAGAAAAATGCAAATAAATTGGAGAAAATTTAGAGGAGAGCAACACAAATAATAATGGATTTAGAAAACCTGGCCTATGAGGAAAGATTTAAAAAATGGAGACTGTTTAGATTTGAGCAGAATCTGAGAGGACCTGATCAGTCATCAGATGTGTTGAGGCCTGTTCTAAAGAAGATTGGTCAATTGTTGCTCTTGTCCACTGAAGGTAGGGCAAGAAGTAGTAGGGCTTCATCTACAGCAAGGGAGATGTAGGTTAGTTATTAAGAAAAACTAACTACGAGGATAGTTAAGCACTGGAACAGGCTTCCAGCAGAGGCCATAGAGTCCCAGTCTCTGGAGATTTTAAAGAACAAGTTGGACAAACCTCTGTCAGGGATGTAGGGTTTTGGGGGCATTTTTTGGTCCTGCCTAAGCACACAGGCCTGGGCTAGATGCCCCCTCAGGCTACGGCTACACTGCAGTGCTATTTCCGGATACAGGAGGTATCCCAAAATAGCTATTCCATGTCTTTTAAGCGCACCCATTATTTCAAAATACAAAGGGGCTCACTATTCTGATGTCCCTGTAAACTTCATTCTACGAGGAGTAAGGGACATTTCGAAACAGTGACTTATTTGCAGTAAGTGCTGTGTAGACAAATTTTGAAATAAGCTTTTTCAAAATAAGATGCACAGTTTTTGTAGCACAAATTGCATATCTTATTTTGACCTCCAGTGCAGTGTAGACACACCCCCAAGGTCCCTTTCAGTCCCACATTTCGATGATATGTTATGGGAATGTAGTTTATTAGTGAGAGCAGATGAGTCACTGGTACTATACTTCAGTAAAACTTCCTAAGGTACATTTTTAAAGATGCAAATCATTAGATTGGACCTTTCTGAACTGTAGCCTCCTTAACTGCTCTCACTGCTGAATGCAAATGGTCAAATAGGAATGTTTGTTTATTCACCTCCAGTAAACATTTTATTTAATTGCCGGAATGTTTAGTCAATTTTTTAAAAAGCAATTTCCTTTCATGGTGGAAAAACTCCTTTCATTTCTTGGCAAGGGCCCAATGTGGCCTCAGTGGAAATAAAAGAGAGTTTTGCCTTTGATATCAGAATAAGCATGATTTGGGCCCTGACCACCTGGAACTTGAGACAACTGTTAGCTCTTATAAAGCAATGTCAGTAGCGTGTCTCTGTCCATATCGCTTACAGGCCTCAATTCAGCAAAGTACATAATCCTATTACTTAACCAGTACTTAAGCCAATAGGCATGTATTTTAGTGCTTTGCAGAATTAAGCCATAAAACATATGCTTCTGGGTATGTCCCATTCTTAGTGCCTATCATTTTCCTTCTCACCTCTGCATTAGGCTTCTAGAATACCTTGATTCTCAGTAATAGAAATGTAGCCATGTTAGTCTGGTGTAGCTGAAGCAAAATGCAGGACTAACAAGATGGTTTATTAGATGATGAGCTTTCGTGGGCCAGACCCACTTCCTCAAATAGTGGAAGAAAATAGTCACAACCATATATACCAAAGGATACAATTTAAAAAAATGAACACATATGAAAAGGACAAATCACATTTCAGAACAGAAGGGGTGTGCGGGGGGGGGGAAGGAAGGTAAGTGTCTGTAAGTTCATGATATTAGAGGTGGGGAAAGTTAGATGTCTGTGAGCTAATGGTATTAGAGGTGATAATTGGGGAAGCTATCTTGGTAATGGGTAAGATAGTTGGGGTTTTTGTTCAATCCCCCCCGGAGAGTGTCGAATTTTAACATGAATGACAGTTCAGAGGATTCCCTTTCAAGTGCAGATGTAAAACGTCTTTGTAGCTGAATGCAGGTGGTTAAGTCATTGAGACAGTGTCCTTTCTGGTTGAAATGGCAAGAAACTGTTTTTTCTTTGTGATCTTGTCTGATATCTGTTTTGTGGGCATTAATCCTTTGGCGAAGTGTCTGAGATGTTTGTCCAATGTACATAGCAGACGGACACTTTCGGCACATGATAGCATAGATTATATTTCTGGATGCGCAGGAATATGTGTTCTTGATCTTATAACTCACTTGGTTAGGTCCAATAATGGTATCAGCAGAATGAATATGTGGACAAAGCTGACAAACATAACAGACGGACACTTTCAGCACATGATAGCATAAATTATATTTCTGGATGCGCAGGAATATGTGTTCTTGATCTTATAACTCACTTGGTTAGGTCCAATAATGGTATCAGCAGAATGAATATGTGGACAAAGCTGGCAACGGGGTTTGTTGCAAGGGAAGGTACCAGGGTTGGTATTAGTGTGGTATGTCCTGTGGTTGTTGGTAAGAATCATCTTGAGGTTAGGTGGTTGTCTATAGGAGACTATGGGTCTGTCTCCCAGAGCCTCTTGGAGTATGGTATCCTGTTCCAGTATAGGCTGTAGTTTATTGATAATGTGTTGGACAGGTTTAAGTTGGGGGTTGTAGGTGATGACAAATGGTGTTCTATTGTTGGTTTTCTTGGGTCTGTCTTGAAGTAGATGGTTTCTAGGTATTCGTCTGGCTCTTTCAATTTGCTTTTTTATTTCTCCGGGTCGGTAGTTGAGATTTATAAATGCTTCGTAGAGATCCTGAAGCTTCTGGTCTCTGTCAGTGGGATTAGAGCAGATGCGGTTGTATCGAAGGGCTTGGCTATAGACGATGGATCGTGTGGTGTGTTCTGGATGGGAGCTGGAAGCATGTAGGTAACTGTATGAGTCAGTGGGTTTTCTGTAGAGAGTGGTGTCTAATTTTCCATTGTTGATTTGTACGGTGGTGTCCAGGAAGTGGATCTCTCGTGTAGAATGGTCCAGGCTGAGGTTGATGGTGGGGTGTAGGTTGTTGAAATCTCTGTGGAATATCTCCAGTGTTTCTTGGCCATGTGTCCAGATCATAAAGATGTCATCGATGTACCGTAGGTAGAGGAGGGGTGAAAGGGGACGGGAGTTGAGGAAACGTTGTTCTAGGTCAGCCATAAAGATGTTAGCATACTGTGGGGCCATGCGTGTACCCATGGCTGTGCCGCTGATCTGGAGGTATAAGTTGTTCTCAAACCGGAAATAATTGTGGGTGAGAACAAAGTTACATAGGTCTGCTATCAGGTTGGCAGTAGTGTCCTCTGGGATAGTGTTTCTAATTGCTTGTAATCCGTCTTCATGTGGGATGTTGGTATATAGAGCTTCTACATCCATGGTGGCAAGGATGGTATTATTGGGGAGGTTATCGATGTTTTGTAGTTTCCTTAGGAAGTCAGTAGTGTCTCGGAGATAGCTGGGGGTATTGGTTACGAAGGGTTTGAGAAGAGTGTCTACATAGCTGGATAGACCAGATTCATAATGACCACAGCACCCCCTTTGTCAACTGGTTTGATTATAATGTCCAGGTTGTTTTTGAGACTCTGGATGGCATGGTGTTCAGCGCAGCTAAGATTGTGTGTCGATTGTTGTCGTTTGCGAATAATGTCAGTCTGTGCGTTGTTGCGGAAGCTTTGTATATAGAAATCTAGATTGTAATTCCGACCGTCACTGTCTCCTTAAAAGCCTCTCCACAGCTACTCGGGAACAAATCCACACAGAAACACCTTCTGACCCCCGACCAGGATTGCCGGCAAAAAGCACCAGTCTAGACGGGGATCCTTTGGAAAATAAAGCCTTTTCCGAAAGATCCCTTATTCCTCTTAAAATCAGGAATAAGGGATCTTTCAGAAAAGGCTTTATTTTCTGAAAGATCCCCGTCTAGACTGGCGCTTTTTTCCGGCTCCGGGGCTTCGGGAAAAAGCGGCAGCCATGTTTATGCAAATGAGTGGGGGGGGTTAAATCCCCGCTTCATTTGCAATTGCGATGTGTCTAATTTGCATCCCTTTTACTGAAAAGGGATGCAGTCTAGACACAGCCATAGTGAAACATGGGTGTATTTTCTTACCCAAATCAGTCTTAGCTGACTACCCTGTAAGGGCAGCTGCTGATTTTCTGAACTCCTACATTAGGTTTAAGAAATACAAGCAAGCTGGGAGCCATTCCAACTCATTTCGCTTGTCCAATGGCCGAACAGATGACACAGGTGAGTGTTTGCTTTCTGATCCATGTTACTCCCTATGGAGCGAGTGTAGACATTGTCTTCCTCTAGTGCCTAATTCGTCGAACAGGTTAACGAGTTTGCTTCAGCTGCTAAATTGGGGGCATTTTCCTTCAGTTCAAGAAGTAGGGAATTCAAGCTGTTAAAACTGAAAATCTTGAGTTCAAATCTTGGGCTGGTTATTAAAAGACTTGAGGAGTTCACCTGTTACCTTAATATAGAGGAGGTTAAGAAATGATTTGATCATCTATAGGTATCTACATGGGAGGCAGAAATTTGGTAATAGAATGCTCTCCAATCCAGCAAACAACGGTATAACAAGAAACAGTGGAAGTTGAAGCTAGACCCATTCAGACTAGAAATAGGTTGCAAATGTTTAAAACCACTGACCCAGGCTATCAAGAGTTGTGATGGATTCTCTGTAACTAGCAATTTTTAAATCAAGGTTGAATGTTTTTTTATAAAAGCTCTTCTTCTAGTTTAAACAGGAATTAATGTAGGGAAGCTTTATGGCCTATATTACACAGTAGGTCAGACTAGATGATCACTATGGTTTCTTCTGGGTTCATAATCTATGTATAATGGTACTAAGAGTAGCATCTCTTGTAGTTTTCATTCAAACGGTACAGCTCTCTCCCTGTTTTTAGAGTAAATTACATTGCCCTTTTTTCCAGTAGGATGAAAAAAGTGTTGATTTGAACATTTTTCAGAGATTAATGTGTTTATAAAAAATATAACTATACTTCCACTAATCATCACTGCAATAATTGATTGCAGCTAAACAGAGCTTAGCTGGGCTAGCATGGGAATCCTCCAAGGAAAAGGGAAATGTTTCTTCTTTCTGAACCATCCCTGCACCAATGCTCTTGAAGGGCTGTTCAGCTCAAATATCACCTTGCATGCTAGAGCCTATGAATTAGTGGACTACACCTCCATATGACGAATTAATTGCAGCAGTCAGTTCATTTTATGCTAGTTAGGTGTAATTTTCAGGCTCCTGGGAAGTTGTCTCTGCAGCCCTCAGTTGGGCAAAAGTTTGGGCACCGATAAACATGAACACACAAATTTTCACAATTTTTGTTATGTCAGTCAGCTCTGAGATCATTTCGTTTGGCTTGTTTGCAAAATTGAAAATTTTTTCATTTTCCAAATTTTTGCAGGGAATCATTTCTCAGTTTTGGAATAAACTGAACATTTTCAAAAATAATTAAAAATCATAACTGTCTAAATCCACTAATCAAAATGAGCAGTAACTTTCCACAAAATGGAAACAAAACTCCAAAAAGATAAAATTCAATTAAGCACCAGAAAATGTCAAAAACATCAGATTATTGTCACAAATACTAATCTTTTTTTATTTGAAATTTCAAGCAACTCTACACACAGTTTTTGATCCTGCAAAGACTTGATACCGATGCTTAACTTTACACACTATGGCTGTGTCTACACGGGCCTCCCTTCCGGAAAAGGGATGCTAATGTAGCACATCGCAATTGCAAATTCCGCGGGGGATTTAAATATCCCCCGTGGGATTTGCATTTACATGGCTGCCACTTTTTTCTGGCTTGGAGAAAAGCCGGAGAAAAGCGCCAGTCTAGACGTTATTCTCCAGAAAATAAAGCCTTTTCCGGAGAATAACGTCTAGACTGGCGCTTTTCTCCGGCTTTTCTCCAAGCCGGAAAAAAGCGGCAACCATGTAAATGCAAATCCCACGGGGGATATTTAAATCCCCCACGGAATTTCCAATTGCGATGTGCTACATTAGCATCCCTTTTCCGGAAGGGAGGCCAATGTAGACACAGCCTATGAGTAATGTTATAGATTTGAAGAGTACTATTCAATGCATAAAGTTAAGCTTGCAGACTCCTAGGTGCTACTGCAGTACTAATAATAATAATGAATAATGTGTATGCCTTTTCAGGATCAGGATAAAAGTGGTATCTGTTTTCATCTTGCATAGTAGCGAAGAGTGAGAACACATGCTATCCTGACTTAGAAAGGAAACACATTGTTCAAGCATCAGTTTGAGGGGTAATTTTGTGGTCAGCTGCAGTAGAAGGGGAACTGATCCTATCTCCTTTTTCACTTGTTTATGAGGAATGGAAGGCCTGAAAGAATAATGGTGTTAAAGTTGCAGTAAAGTCTGGAGAGCCCTAACCAAGATCTGGAACCCATTGGACTAGACATTGTATAAACCCAGGACTGTGGTGACTGGAAAAATAGTGAAATTATGGCAGCACAAATATCAATAGACAGAAAGCTGGGCATCTGAGAGAGCAAGGGATTTACAAACAGTAGAGAGAATTTGTTTCTCGGATGAAATATTTTGATAAAAAGCATTTTTTTAATTTTCAATCTAAAGTTTACTTTTAATTTAAAAAATGAGAAGTCCTATGGCATCTTAAAGACTAACAGATTTATTTGAGCATAAGCTTTCGTGGGCAAAGGCCCCCTTCATTGGATGCATTGCAGTGCAGCTGATGAAGTGGGTCTTTGCCCACAAAAGCTTAAGTCCAAATAAATCTGTTCATCTTTAAGGTGCCACAGAACTCTTTGTTGTTTTGCAGATACAGACGAATGAACACAGGTACCCCTCTGAAGCTTAATTTTTGTAGGCTTTCATTAAGCTGAAAAAAAATTGGATTTTTTTTTTAACAAAATCAAAACTGTTTGAAAAAATGTCCATTTAGTTAAAAAGCTATTCTTGAAAGAAGCTATTCCGGAAAATATATGACAATCTACAATAATCAGATATTTGAAAATTCCTCTTCAGTTTTGGGAATGCAGCCGGTCCCCAAGTTGCGAACGCTCGACTTATGACCGTTTGCAGTTATGGCCAAAGCTGTTGTAAATGACGGACCCTGAATTATGAACACGATCCGTGCTTACGAACAGCGCAGTCGCGTGTAACTCAATGGGATCTGACTTGTAAATGAACCGAGTTATGACCAATTGCTTCGTCCGTAACCGGTTCATAAGTCAGAGAGCGGCTGTACTTGTTTTAAGTCCTGTTTTGAACATTTTGGAGAAAAGACATCTTTGTTAAAGTTTCAGCTTTAACGGCTTTAGTTCAAGGCTAAGAGCTGGATAAACCTCTGTGGGCCTTCGTAGGAGGTCATCCAGCAAAACCAAGGGAGACCAGGTTTGACACTTCTGATATTTCTCTGAGCTTAAAAAAAATACAGGAAATATCTGAATACACACACACATACATACATATACTGTTCTATTTTTTAAACTCTTTGAGGTTTCTTTTTTCCATCCTAAGGTAGCCAAAAAAGTGTACACTCCTCATTTTAAAAATTCATCGCGAGTTCCTTCTAAGGCCCATGACTGTGAGTCATGGCACCAGGCTTCCCTTTCCTTCTCTGCGGTTGACTTGCTTGTGACTATGGGCCAAAACTTTCACAGTTGAGTGCCTGAAGTAGTCACCTAAATAAGAGCTGTAATGTGTGTTCTGCTCCTCTGAATTGTGTTTAGAGCCTTGAACTTGAGCCCATCTGCATGGTATCAGTAGCACATTAAGCCTAAAAACCAGCCTGTTTATGTTGATGCTTAAGGCCTTGTCTGTATAAAAAACTTATACTGATGTAAACTAAATTGTGAATTTAAATTTCTGTATATACATTGCTATAACCCCCATGTGGCCAGTCTCTCTCTTCTGAGAGAGGTTTTTTTTTTGGCTTAACTAATGTTGCTTGGAAAACAGTTTCTACGTAACTAAAACAGGCTATTCTTCTACCAGAATTCATGTCTCCAGGAGGGAGAGTTATACAAATAGAGTGTATAGTATGACTGGTAAACCTTTTCCCACATAATATGTATTTATTTAAGTAGCTTAACTTTAGGTATCCAGGGTCAAAAATTTAGCCTTGATTGTACTCTGTTGTAGTTCTTTAAAATGGGGAACAATAATATGCAACTCACAGGGAAGTTGAAAGAGTTAATGTATTAACGTTTGCAAAGCATTCAGACATCCTTAGTGGCAGCTCCTGTGGATGCAAAATTGCACTGTAAATTTACCAAACATAATTCGGGCACCCCCTTGGCTTGGCTTTGCCAGGACGGTGTCACTGGAGAAATGAATCCAGTTGTAATAGTGTGGATATAATATTACAGAGCCTCAGAGCATGCCGCTGCTTGCCAGATCTCCCAGCACCAACAGGAAGTACCCGCCACTGCCTGTGGATAAATTGGAAGAAGAGATTAACCGGCGAATGGCAGACGATAATAAACTCTTCCGGGAAGAATTCAACGTGAGTTGATCCTATCATCTGAACCTGGTTCAGTCATGCCAAGGGATGGTGCTGGATAGAACAGTGAAAGGTCGAAGTACTCTCTTAACAGACCGAGCCAAACCAGGCCAGGCTACCAGTCACATCTTGAGCTAATTGAGACGGTTTTTCTGTAGCTCTGCAAAGCAAACAGTGTTAGATGCAGTTACAATATTGTAACCACACTATCACCCACTAGGAACTTCATAGTTGTTGCTATGCTACATGCGATGCCCACCGAGAATTTCAGAGTTACAAAGATAGAATTCTCATTCGCCTGTCTCCTCATTACAGGCCTAGGTTTAAAGGATAGTTGTTGGAGGTATAGGATCGGTGGCCTACAATAAAGCAATCTGGTCTTATCCAGCAGGGAGCAGTGGTGCACAGACACACCGACCAGTTTTTTTCAGTACTGGTTACTGATTGCAAATGCACCTTTATATGTTCCATGCCAATCAACAAGTGAATAGGTTGATACATTTCTGGCTGGGCAACATGGGTCAAAAACAGTGGAAAGGGTGTCCCATTCTCTGTGTGTGAAAGCGTACCTGGTTTGTGTCTGTTGTCCACACACACAGCTGCTCTGGATTAGCAGGGCTGTCAGGTTTCCCCAGCTTGACCTGCTGCTTGGGCTCCTTCCAGATTCCTTTACTCCCTCTTCCCCTGCATCTTCCGGTTTCCTTGGTTAAAATAAGTCCTTGCATTATGTATTTAAACCTAGGGCGTGACAACAATTTTAGTTCCATTAGGAGCTCCTCCTCTGTAGCATTTTCAGCTATGTTCAGTGTTAGCCATGATGGGATGATGACAGGATTGAAGAGGTGTAATTGTGCTGATAAGATAATGAATAGGTCTCTGCTTCCAGTAACAGTTATTCAGCATGGGCAGCAGGTAACTAGGCAAGGGAAAACATTACCTTCCCAAAATTGCCTATGCTCCCCAGATGCATGTGAGGGCTGGAGCCATGGCCTGGCTGCACCTGGTCTTCAGCTACCTGGCACTCTGGCCACCTGGGAAGGGTAGAGCAATGCTACCCCTGGGATGGTGATACTAAGGGGTCTGGAGCTATTGAGGGCTGGGGTTGGGGCTCCATGGGGGGAGATTACTGAAGGGGCAGGACCTCAGGTAGAAGGGGTGGAGTTGGGACTTGCCTTCCCCAGCTGGGCCTTCACCTACTGCCCATGGTGTCCAGCATCAGAAGATCTGACCTTGGAGCAGCACATGTGGGATTCCACATTCTCTGAGCCTGTAGAGAGCTAAAGGAGAGCGAGCCATGTCTAGTGATTAGACAGTGGGACTGGGAGTGAATCGATCTGAAAACGATTCCCAGCTCTGCCCCTGAGTCACCTTGGACAAGTCACTGCTTCATTTGTTTGTTTTTCCGTATATCCACCTGCAAAGCAGAGATAAGAACACCTACCTCACAGAAGTGTGGGAGGCTTAAATCTCTCTGTTTAGAAAATAGAGAGAGACTGACTGCCAGACACTGGGACTGGGGGGCGGGACAGATCGCTCAATAATTATTCTGTTCTGCTCGTTCCCTCTGAAGCATCTGGCACTGGCCGCTGTTGGAAGATAAGATACTGGGCTAGATGGGCTATTGATGTGACCCAGTGTGGCCAGTCTTATGTTCTTAATCTCAATAGAGGTGCTACAAACAAGACCCTGTGTATGCTGTGCTTCCATGGCTGTGGAACAGGGCTCTAAAAGGCAAGCTTCATTTTTCTAGTCTTTATGGCTGCAAAGAAAACCTTAAAGACAGGACATGAATGTTAAAACAATGCAGCACTGCCCTCTAGAGCCTCCAGACTGTCAAAAACAGGACCTGTAAGTGAAAGAGGAACTGTCCTAGTTATTTATTTCAATGTGGTATTAACTCAAACTCAGTGGTGACCATTGAAACTGCTGCCACTTTCACCACCATTCCTTCTGCTGACACATGCAAATATTGTGCTTTTCTCACAATCCCAAATTGTCTCCCATGCCTCCCAAAGGGCCTGCACTCAGCTGCCCTGTATGCAGCTGGCAAAGCCCACAGCAGTCCCTGACAACACCACTGATGTAGTTAAACCTTACAAATACAAAAATCTGTGGGACACTGAAAATTAGTAATGTAGGGAGCAAAGTAAAATAACTGAATTATTTATCAAAATAAATCACTTAGGAGCTGCTGTACCAAATGGATTCTCCATTATAATGATTAATCAAGAAACTCTTCCAGAACTGGTACAAGGTTTTCAGCACTGAGTTGTAGAATTTAGGTCCAGCATTCCCCAGGATACACAAGACCTTGGCTGTAGAATTACAATACCTTACTGTTAGAATGCCTTGTGCCCTAACAAAAAATTTCCCCTCTCCCAACTCTTGGGCCGGTTGGTTACTGCTCTGCGCTGCAGAAGTGGTTGCATTTCAGTATTTCTGAATGTCAGTGCAGTCACTAAACTTCTTTGAGATCATTTCTGATGAGAGTTTAATTTCACCCAGGAAAGCATAGGCCTCTGTCCCTTGAACTAAAGGAGTAACTCCAGTCGGTAGCAGCAGTAGGTTCTATCCTCTTGTGTGGACCAGCCAGTAGAGGAAGACACACAGTGAGCTAGTGAGCTGCATACGGTCACCAGTGTTGAGAAACCCTACTCTTTACCCTCAATCCTAAATACCTGCTATTTCCCTTGGTGTTGGACTAAATCACATTGTGATCATATTGATCTACTGTGATTGAAAGTTGTCACTCTCTGCAACCTGTTTGGAGGCTCACATGGGACAACTCAGTAGGGGTCAGTCCAGTTCCCACTGGAGATGGATCTGCATCACCGCACTAGCACAGTTAGCGCCAGATGGCCATCTTGCCAGAGAGACCCAGGACTGTGTGGGCAATAGAGAATGAATCCCTCATGGCACCTGGGAAGGAGATGCATAGGCAAGCTTCCTCAGTTGCTGTTTGTGCTCTTTGGAGAGAGGATGTTACTTTCCAGAGAGATCAGGCTATTATTCTTCAATCAGCACACAATTCATTTGACTTTATTAGTTTAAAGATAACATGCCCCACGCCCTGCACCCAAAATTGGCTCATTAGCCATAGAATGTTCCACCCATCTGATATGGGGTGGAAGTGACTCATGGGACATGGGGCTGACCAGCCAGCACCAAGCCCTAATTTAGTCTGCTCTGTCACTGGTGGCATTGATCCATGAACCTGAGGTAACACGGAAAGAGCTGAGCTGCACCTACCCTGTCTCAGATGTGCTGACGGGATGGTCCAGTTTGTGTTAAGAGGAGGATTTACTGCCATCTTGTGTTTCTGGATAATATGGCATCGTATTTCACGCTAAGTGAAGATTTGCTCCCCGCAGGGAGGCCTGAGCTTGTGTAAACAGTTATTTGAGCGTCTGTTCCATCGCCTCCCTCTCCAGCTATACAGTCTCATTATTCATTAACCATTTTCCATCTTGAGATGTCTGTGATAGGAAGTGAACTGCCTCTGTGCATAGTGCTAGCAGAGACATGCTGGCCTGCCACTCTGCAGTAGCCGTAGAGCAGCCATAGATCTCAACGCACTTCATAAAAGGAACTGAGCATTACTGGTGCTGTGAAACCCTAGTAACTCAATCGTGCCTTTTGGCTTTGGGAGAAGGAATGGGGAGCCTCAAGTCTTGGGGGGAGGGCATCCCCTGGCCATCCTGCCTAAGGGCCTCCCATTGTATCTATGTAAGAGCTCACCAGAATAGAGTTGCATTAATTGGTGTCCTGGGCTGTTTACTGTGATCCCTTTGCTGTTGCAGAAACACTTGTTGCCCCTTCCCCTTCCTTTCCTGATCTAGCTTCTCTGGAGGGCACAGGGAGATGAGCCTTGAGCAACAGGAGACCATTTCCTTTTGAGAGGGATCCGTTCTGTAGGGAGCAGTGTTTGCCCAGAGGTAAGAGCCACGGGTCAGAGTCAGGGCTCATGGGTCCTATTCCTAGCTCTTCCAGTTCTGTCACTTCCATTGTGTCACCTTAGGTAAATCACGTAACCGCCATGCCTCATTTTCCACCAAATGAGAGGCTACTGGCTTACTGCCTTTGAGATCTTGGATGAAGGCTCCTTGAGATACAGCAGGGCTCATCACTGTATAGAAGAGCTGATTGGTTTATGTTTACTGCAGTGACACGCTCTCCTCTTGCATACTGTGGAAGTATAACAGAAAATCGCATTTCTCCTGCCCTTTCAGGCTCTCCCAGCATGTCCCATCCAGGCCACATGCGAAGCTGCCTCCAAGGAGGAGAACAAAGAGAAGAACAGATATGTCAACATTTTGCCCTGTATGTATTTGCTCCCAGTGCAGTTCCGTTGAGGCTTGGGGAGTGACGGGGGGCACAACCAATCACTGCTGCTGTTGGTCTGTTTCTCCATTTGGTATGGCTAGTATGGATGGAAGTGGGGAGTGTAACAGGCTTGCTGGAGAGATGAGGTTGGTTCCCACCACTATGCAGGCTGCTTCGTCTCATCTACCTGTAGATAACACATAGTAAAAAGAGCTCCCTGCAGCTGTAGCCCAAGTGGGAAAGGATCAGGCCAGTTTCTATTGGACATGTGTCCCTGCTGGTTTTAGGACCCCTCGTGGCCAGGATTGAATTGGCCCTGGAGAGTGAACTCCCCTCTCATTCCTACAGCTTGTCTAGACTTGGATTTAAAGTGTCGTCTTTGCACTTCTTAGCTAACGTATTTGAAAAGTCTTCCAGAGACAAGGCCTGCTGCCTTTTAACACATGCTACACTGGCCAGTTTTAGCCTGGAAGAATGCAGGCGTACATTATGGTACATCATAGGCAGTAGCTAGAGCACAGGTGGTGGTTGGAGGGTGGGGAACATATCAAATTAAATGGAGAGAAGAAGAGCAAGGGCCAAGAACTCTGCTGCTGGAATGTAACAGGAGAAAGACAATGTGTTTGCATGGTCACGAGTTGGATGAGTCCTGAGTGTGGGACCCTTTTGCATGTATGCGCTTTGCAGAAGGAAGCCTTTCCTATGCAAAATTTCACTTCTCTAGACTTAAGCATGTGATGACTTCAATGCATAAAATTTTCTACTTATGCAGTGAAGTGAAACCTTGGGAACTGATCCAGCCCCCGGCTTCCTCTGCCCAAGGCCCCAGTCAGATAATCAGAAGTTCATTAACATCTGTTTCATTTTTAATGCATAGTTTTGATTTTTCTCCAGATGATCATTCCAGGGTTCATCTGACTCCCGTTGAAGGTGTCCCGGATTCAGATTACATTAACGCCTCCTTCATTAATGTAAGTTCCTTCATGGACTTTGTTACCGATTTGGTTTGAAGAATAAATATCAACCTGATGTGCCTGGTCGTATGGTGGCCCGTTTCACATGGAGTGAGGCTAGCCATTACACATGTGCCTTACACGGAACGTGGTTATAGTCAGGAAAGGAACTGCTAAGGAATGGCCACTTGATACTCCCCCTCTCTCTTTCTCACGTCTGCTTAGTTCATTGGCCAAGCATTCTGTTGTCAATGCTGTAGTGTCAATATAGCGTTGGAAAAGGGAGTTTCATACAGCCAAAGGGAATGTGGTCTTGGATCGAGGGGCCAAGAGCCAACATCTCTGTTGCTTGTTCTACCACCGATCTGTTGTGTACCTTGGCTATATCTCTTTGTGCCTGTTTCCCCATCCATCAAGTAGATAATACCTTACTCGCTGGAATGTTGTGGAACTTAGCTTTCATTTTTAGGAGCAGCTTTGTGGTCATCTCTGGTTGAAAGACAAAGTTTAAGTGTAGGTGATTAACCATTGGAACAAACCCCTTGGGATAGTTTTGGATTATGGTACATCATAGGCAGAGGTCTTTTGATGTCTTCAAATCAAGACTGGATACCGTTCTGGAAGATATATCCGTAACCAATTACTGGGTTCACTGCAGAGGTAATTGTGTAGTTCTCTGGTCAGTGTTATCACAGGAAGTCAGACTAGATGATCTAATAGTCCCATCCAGCCTTGTAAATCTATAAATTACTGAGGACCCAGTCTTGCAATTCCTTCATGATCAGAGCTCCCTTTGTAGTTAGTGGAAGCCATGCAGCCAAAGGGCTTGCAAGACTGGAAACAAAGTGCATGAAAAAACAACCAGCTGGCCAGCTAAATTCTGCTTACAGCCCCTTTAGATCTGTTCTTCTCCGATTGGAGTCTGTGAGAGATTTGCTCCTGACTCGGATGGGATAGGGGGATTGTGGCTTTTGCTAATGAAACACAGTGAAGTGCATAGAAAAAATGTAGCTTGCTTGATTTTTAGATGCCAGATTGAGTTTGCAGCCCCTTTACCTTGACAAATGTCTACATCAATGCATGAAATGTGTCCTGTTTTGTGGAAGGTCATTAAGTAAGCAGTTAATCCAGAGTCCTGTTTATAGACATATTCCCAGAGCACAGTGTCCCTTTAAATAAACAATAAAGCATAATCATTGCACAGATGATCTTGTGGGTAGGACACTAAGCATGGGACTCAGGAGATTTGGGTTCAGTTGATGACTGCCACTGATTTCCTGTGTGACCTTGGGCAAGTCATTTTTATCAGTGCCTCAGTTTCTCATCTCTATAATGAAGATAACAATACTTTATTTTCTTCCACTGTTTGTCTACTTAGATGGTAGACTTTTCAGGGAGCGGACTGTTTTACAATGTATATGTACGGCACTTAGCACACAGAGCCCCTAATCAGTTGGGAACTATTGATGCAAAGGTAATGCAGATATTAATTGTCACGATAATTACTATTAAAAGTAGCAATGTGTATTCCATGCATTTTAAAAGGAGTACTAATGCACCCAAAGAGAAGCAAGGTGATGCAGCAATGCAGTTCAAAACATGAAATCCATTTTATTCTCTCCAAAATACAAATTGGCATCATGAAGAAAAGCAAGACCCCTTTAAACACTCCAGCCAGGAGTCTGTAGAGTCTGTGTTGACTTGTGTGGGCACTGATAGCGCTCAGCCTGCGGTGCCTGAGCTCTGCTATAAGGTTATCACACATCACTATGCCTGTGTTTTGGAGGCAATACCTAATTTCAGGCCCTTCGATGGGCAAATACAGTGAATCCCCAGATCATACAAGGCCAGACAATACTTTCTCCAGGAAGGGGACCTTTGGATCATGGTCCTTGTCTCATTCAGGCACCATTTCTCCCGCCAAGCCTGCTCTGCACAGTGCTGGGCCTGTGCTGGTGAGTTTGGGGGTTAGACTGGTTGTTGGGAACAGTGGGCAGGTCAGCAGTGGAGTACAAGAATGTCAGCTCAGTTTATTAACCATCTGGCAACAAGTCATGACTCTTGGCCTCCTGTACACTCTGCTGTGCTGTCCTGCATTCTTAGCATGTCTGCTTAGGTATGAGGTCAGGGTTCCACATAGGGATTTGAACGGTTAACTGGTAATCATCACTCTAAGCGGGTAATACTTACCGATTCCAGTTAACTGGTAACCAGAGAAGAGTGGAGCAACTCCCTGCCTGCTGCAGACAGGGGGCTTGCTGCGGACAGGGGCTGCTCTCGTCCAGAACAGCCCCTGTCCACTGCAGGTAGGGGCTTCTCTGGTAGGGGTTGGAAGCTGGCAGCCAGCTCCAGCGCAGGGCTGGGGGCACGAGCCCCATGGGCTAAGGGCTGCTCCAGCAGAGTGGAGCAGTCCTCACCTCGGATCCTGCTTTAGTCGGTTAACTGGTTAAATGTTAGGTTGGTTAACCTAAGGCTATAGTCAGTTAATCTAACTTTTTGCCAGTTGGCTGATTAACTGGGATTTTACATCCCTAATTCCAGAAGCCACATTCTACCTTTTCTGCTAGAAGCGTGCTCTGCCACAGGCTGCTAGAACTCAGTGCTTCCTGCGCTCACCCATTCCACGTTTAAGCTAAGCACTGGCGGAATAGTGTATAATATTTGTAATGCCACTTGTCATCCCAAAGATTCGCAATGTATTTTGCAGTTTTAGGAGAGGTTAGATTAGAGTAAAAAGAGTTACAAAAGTGACGTGGGGCCCTTCAAGACGAAAGTTGCTGTATTATAAAAATAGACCACTCCACCCTCCATGTAATTGCAGCCATCTCTGGGCTGCAACACAGAAACCACTTTTTAACATTTTACAGCTGGGTGAGAAGCAAATGAAGAACACCGTATCCAACAGGAACTGCATTGCGGTTGCGGCTAATGGGGAAAGATTCCTTTCAGCTCTGAGAACTAGGATTAACATGCTTCAGGGGGGAGCTGAGTTAGTTTGTACAGAATAAACTTAAAAAAAAGTGGGCTGTGCTCACGAAAGCTCATGGTACCATCTCCATGTTTTGCTAGTCTTTAAAGCGCTACCAGACCATTTGTTGTTTAAGTTTAGGATTAACAAGTGACTCTGCAGCCCTAATACAAGGTTCCTCTTATGTGGATGCTACCAAGCTGCTAGAAGTTGAGAGAGCGATGTTATGTGGTCTTCAAATGGGAATGCTTGTGTGCTTGCAGATGTGAACGTGTGGCATAATGCTCCGGAGGGTGGGGGGGAGAGGTGCAGCCAGCTTTGTCTTGGAGAAAGGCTGCTCTTTCATTATGATGTTCCTTTTTCTTTTTGTGTCTCTGCAGGGATACCAAGATAAAAACAAGTTTATTGCTGCACAAGGTAAAATCTCAAGGCTATTCTGGTTACTATGTCAAGACAGTATCACTGTGGTAGGGGGTGATTCTTCCCTGATCTTTGAAACTGTGGCATTGGACTAGTGGCTCAACTGCTCTGGTGCATTCAGGTCAAAATCCAGGAGTCTGAGTTGGAAATGTAGGAAACACCACAGTGTGGACAGATTGTAGGTCTGTGCCATGCCCACATGCAAGTTCAGTGCTAATCTGAGTTTGGGGGACCATCCCATCCATAGGACAGTTGGGGTGGCTGCCGCAAGGCCCCCCGAAGTGCAGGGCCTGGGGCAGCCACACCAAACCATCCTATGGACAGGACGGCTTTGCGCACACTTCTCCTGGACCACAGGGATGTGCCACAGGGCACAGAGCTAGCAGCTGGAAGCCACTCTAGCCCCACTATGCTATCGGTGGTGGCACTGAGGGCCCCTGGGATTTGTTTAAATCTCCTGGGAGTGGCAGGTTGGACCAGGGGATGCACAAGGGGAGTGTGGGCTGGCTGGCAGGCAGGGCTGGGAGATGTGTGGAGGGGGAGCACAGAGTCCCCACCCATCCCCAGAGTCTGGCCACAGAGGGGTGCTGGCCCAGTAGGAGGATTTGAAGACTGGCACTGTGGCCGAAAGGTAAATGAGTTTGAGACCCCTGTGCTAGAAGATGGGCCTGGCATTCAGCCAGGCCACCATTGGTGAAGGCAAAGCCTGTTCCATGTGTTGCTCAGCCCAGACATAACCTGGGGTTTGAGTCAGGATGTTTAGTTATAGTTCATCAGCTTGTCTGGTGGGTGGTCAGTAACTACTCCTATGAGAGAACCCTGCAAATCCATGAGTGTCTACTTCTGTGCACCATTTGTGCAGACTGGATGCAGATACAACTTTTGTATCCATGTAGGACTCTACTCGTGAGTACAGGGTGTCCCCGCTATAAGTCACCCTGGTATGCATCCGTTCCACTTGTAGGAACTGCTGTGTTGTAAGTCCTCCCATTCCCTGCTCTTAAGTTGTGCCCCCCCCCAAAAAAAAAAACAATTTGCACAAATGGAAGTCAGCTGCGGGAAAAAAATTCCCCACTGTTTCGCTATAAGTCCAAGATTTTTGGAACGTCTCTTAGACTTATAGCAAGGATGGCCTGTACCATGTTTAAGGAAGATCTTGCCGTTAAAGCACAGCAGTCAGGACTCCTAAGTTTTCTTACTGGTCATAAAATGTGTCCAGTCCCTTTTAAATATACAGTTATAGTATTAGAGGACTCTGAGAGCCCTTTGCTGCCGCTTTGTGGCAAAACATGGAAACCCTATTTTATTACTGCACTGTCATTAACAACTCTGTACGCGCCCCTCCCTGCTGGTTTTTACTAGGAGAAGATCCATCTGGGTGACGTGCCCTTCCAGTGTACAATACCTGTGTTTGGGTTTTGTCTTTTTAGGACCAAAAGAAGAAACAGTAAATGATTTCTGGAGAATGATTTGGGAGCAGAACACAGCGACAATTGTCATGGTGACCAACCTGAAAGAGAGAAAAGAGGTGACTGTCAGGGAATACTGCCCTCGTGGACACTTTCGCCTGCTGTGGTGATGAATGGAGACATAGGGAACGGCTGGGCCTGCCACACCCTGGACAAACACATGCAAGCTAGGCAGCTAGGCAAGCAGTTCTGTCACTTTTACGTACCCATGGAACAAAGTCCCTAGAAGGGCTGTCCATGAGACTGAACATGGGACTTCTGGATCTAAAAGCATAAATCTCTGCCTGCACTGACCGCTCCCACTTGCTAGCCTGCAGGCAGTAGTAAACTTGAACACTTTATATCTGACCAGCCACTAGAAAGGGACAAAGAGCTGCACGTTAGCCATGTGTTGGGGTCTGCAGGTGCAATTGATACATGAGCTTCTGCAACTTTCCCCATAGCACCCCTACCCTTAACAGATATGACAAACATACACTCCACACACAAGGAAGCAAATGGTCAGGGCCGAATCTGCTCCCCTTGACACTTGGCCAAACTCCCCTTGTCTTCAACGGGAACCAGGATAGAGGACCAGGTCTTCAGCTGGTGTAAAACAGCATAACCCATAGAGCGCTGCTAGGCTCTGAGGAATTGGTCCAAGATGGCAATTCCTATGTACTTGTACTAGCTCATCCTTGGGTCTTTAGATACTGGGCTTTCATAGATTATAAGCCCAGAAGGGACCACTGTGATCTTCTAGTTTGCCCTATTGCATAACAGAGACCAGAGACGTTCCCTGAAATAATGCCTTGCCTTGCCTATCTGTCATTTCTTTCCAGTGCAAATGTGCTCAGTACTGGCCAGACCAGGGCTGCTGGACTTACGGAAACATCCGGGTATCTGTGGAGGATGTGACAGTCTTGGTTGACTACACAGTGCGAAAGTTCTGCATTCAACAGGTACCATGGTTCAGTTACATCCCTTCACTCCGCTCACCATTTTCCATCACAGAAAGCAGGCGAGAACTAGGGTGCTCCTGCCTGTAGCAAGGATTGTTTGAATTGCTACAGACCTCAACTTTCACAATGCCTCCTAGGGGCATGTTCTTGCTAGGGATCAGTAGATAGGGATGGTTTGCGTGCCCATTTGAAGGACGCAGTCATGATAAAAAAAAATATATACTTTTTAAAAATAGCTCTTCTTGTGTTACTAATTGCACCCTGAGTTTTGAGAGTGAAATAACTAGAGTCCTCTCTTTGTTTTCACCAGAGCTTTTTGCACTTAAATCAGCTTAGTTATTTAAGACCAACTGCTCAGATGCCGTAGATCTGTATCGCTCTGTTGGCAACATTGGAGATTTACTGATTTACAACAGCTGAGTATCTGAGGATGGACCAGTTTTGCTTTAATACTTTAGCATACACAGTTCTACATGTGCAGGTAGCACAGTTGCATGTGGAAATGGGGCAGATAGAGTTGGGAATTGATCTTTGATCTCCTGAGTCCCAGACCTTTAATAATTTTTGTTGCTCTTCTCTGGACTTTCTCCAGTTCACTTTTTTCCTGAAATGTGACACTCAGAACTGGACACAATACTTCAGTTGAGGCTTAATCAAGCACAGAGTAAAGCAGAAGAATTACTTTTCCTGTCTTGTTTATGATATTGCAGCTAATACGTCCCAGATTGCTGTTGCAGAAGTGTTACACCATTCACTCATATTTAGCTTGTGGTTCACTATGACCCTTAGATCCCTTTCTATAGTACTCCTTCCTAGACAGTCACTTCCCATTCAGTATGTGTGAAATTGATTGTTCCTTCCTAAGTGGAGCACTTTGCATTTGTCCTTATTAAACTTCATCCTGTTTACCTCAGACCATTTCTCCAGTTTGTCCAGATCATTTTGAATTTTAATCCTATGCTACAAAGCATCCCTTCCAGCTTAATATTGTCCGCAGACTTTATCAATGTACTCTATAGGCCATTGTCTAAATCATTGATGAAGATATTGAACAGAAACGAACCCAGAACTGATCTCTGCGGAGCCCCACTCGTCGTGCCCTTCAAGCATAACTGTGAACCATTGATAACTGATTTCTGTGAATGGTTTTCCAACCAATTTTGCACCCACCTTGTAGCTTCATCTAGGTTGCATTTCCCTAGTTTGTTTATGAGGAGGTCATGCGCGACAATATCGAAAGCTTTACTAAAGTCAAGATCTACTACGTCTACTGCTTCCCCCTTATCCTCAAGGATTGTTACCCTGACAAAGAAAGTGATCAGGTTGGTTTGACAGGTCCATGCAGATTGTTACTTATCACCTTATTTTAGATGTTTCCAAATTGATTGCTTATGTGCTTCATTATATTTCCAGATACAGAAGTTAAGCTGACTGGTTGTAATTCTCTAGGTTGTATTATTTTTCTTTTTATAGATAGGCACTATATTTTCCAGTCTTGGAATTTCTGCCGTCTTCTGTGACTTTTCAGAAATAATTGCTACTGGCTCAATTATCTCCTCGGTCAGGTTCTTGAATATTCTAGGATGGATTTCCTTATGCTCTGGTTACTTGAAAGCATCTAATTTGTCTAAGTAATTTTTAACTTGTTCTTTCCTTATTTTAGCCTCTGATCCTCCCTCACTATCACTGGTATTCAATATGTTAACATCCAATCGCCACCAAACCTCTTGGTGAAAACTAAAACAAAGAAGTCATTAAGCACGTTTCTCATTTCCACATTTTCTGTTATTGTTTTTCTCCCTCATTGAGTAATGGGCCTACCTGGTCCTTGGTAGTCCTCTTCTTGCTTAATGTATTTGCAGAATGTTTACATGTTGTTTTTTGTTCCTAGCTACTTTGATTTCATCTTATGCCTTGGCCTTTCTGATTTTGTTATTTGTTTACATTCATTCTTTGAAGTTTGATCTGGTTTCCACTTTTTGGAATGCTGAGTCACTTTATGCCTTCAGGTTATGTAAAAGTGAAATGTGGTTTTGACCTCATTTGATTCAGCTTGAAATGCATACTGAAATCCCTGGGGTAGGAATCAAGTAGCCATCAGGATTCCTGGCCACCCCAAAAATTGGCTTCTGAGTTTGGAGTCCCCCTCACCACTGTATTTATTGAGAGTGACAACTACCGTGCAATTGCAGGATCCAGAAAGCCTTAGAGGAGTTGGGGGCCCATCTAGTTTCTGTCCCCTCCCTCAGTAAACCCCAGGAGACACTGCCTCAGCTTGTGGAGGTTGGCCTAGCTCCATTGACATCAGTGTGTCCTAGAACTTTAGAAACACTGAGGTGTAAGGTAAGCAGCCTTTAGAACAAGCTCTGAACCCCCAAATCAGCTCTCGCCCCCTCCCCCCAAACTGGAAGCTCCTCTCTGTTCCTGGGGAAAGGTAAAGAAGCTGAGTATCTGATAGTAACCATGGCGTGTGCTTCCCCCCGCAGGTAGGTGATGTCACAAACAAAAAGCCTCAGCGCTTGGTGACCCAGTTCCACTTCACCAGCTGGCCTGACTTTGGAGTCCCCTTCACCCCCATCGGGATGCTGAAGTTCCTAAAGAAGGTGAAGACATGCAACCCCCAGTATGCAGGGGCAATCGTCGTACACTGCAGGTGAGTCCAGAGCCACATCTCCCAGAGAACACCTCCCTCCCCCGCATGTCTCTGCCTGGCTGCTCTTGGGGACTCCCCGGAAAACCTGTTCTATCTCCTGCAGAAGGTGGAAAAGCTGGTCCTGGCCACCTGATGCTGGATTCACCATACAAGTGCAAGCAACAGCCATAGTCACACGCAAATCACATGCATGGGGAGCTGGGCCGAGAGCCCTGCCCATTCACTTCCTAAACACAGGCCTCATGTGAGCAACGAAAATTGCCTGTGGCTAGCAAGAGTAGTAGTAACAGCTCAGCTGGCTGCTTTCTGGAGACAGCAGGCTAGAATATCCCAGCCTCCTGCTTTTGAGATTTGCTCTTTAACCCTTGGTGGCATGGATCCCAGACACAGCAATGAGCTCCATGCTTTCTCTGTACCCGGACTAACAAGCTGCAGAGTTCGCCTGGGGTATTGTCCCCTGTATTTGATATACAGCATGCCTCCTCTTCCTCCTCCCTCCCAAGTTCCAGAGCACTGCAAGGGAGGGGAAGCCAGCTGGGCACAGCTCACCACCTTGATTTGTTCAGAGTCATGATGGTAAATGAATGGCAGAGCCAGCAGTTGGCTCTGCCCATGAGACAGTGCTGCCTGTAATGCTGTTCCCTTCTGTAGCTGCTTTCTTCCTTCACAAACTATAAGGACCTAGCAGAACTGCCATCTCTAGCAAGGAGAGAGGCAGCCAGCATAACAGGGTGGGCTAGAGAAGATTGGATTGAGGACGTTGGACAAATCCTTCTTGCAGCCCAAATGTTCATCAGCCCCCACGCCCCCGGTGCATGGCACTCAGTGCGTCTCTCTCAGGCTCCCAGACAGGGCTCAAGCTTGCAACTCCAAGGGGTCTGCATGAGTCAGAGCTGGTGCAAAGACCCACCCTGAGCCTCTTCAGCTCTAGATACGCTTCCACCGAGTCACATGGGCTCACCCCTTACCCCCCGTTGATACATTGAGAATTGAGCACTGAGAACAGGAGCCCAGACATGGCCAGAGGCCGAGAGGAGCAACAGAGCTGGGCCCTGACCTGTCAAAGCGACTGGCTGCCATGGGCCCAGCCCTATAGAGGGGGAGGGCAGGCTAGAGGGAAAGTGGGTGCAGAAGGGCAAGCAGCACTTCAATACTCCTCCAGTCTGAACTGACTGCAGGGCTCCCTAGCTATGTCTACACTACTGGGTTATTTCAGAATAACAGGCTCGGTAGTGTGGACACTCGCCTTCTTGTTTTGAAATAAAAGGGAGTTATTTTGAAATAACTCCCCAGTGTAGGTGTAACCCACACACCTAGTGTGGTTACTGAGCAATGCAAGTGGTACCTAGACCACAGCAACAGTTAAGATCAAGAGACCTCTACAGCATGGGCAGGGGGCCAGCTGGCTTTTACCTCAAAGGGTAGAGGCTCCTATCCTCAGCTCCAGAGGTCCCAGGTTCAAATCTGTCTGGTGGTGGTTACATAGACATGCCACCTGTGGCCTGCTCTGTGCTCCCATGTGCTCAGAGTCCCGTGGGGTGGGATTGTTGGAGTCTACAAATGTCTGTCTCAGCTGTGGCCTTTGCACCTGAGAATAACCCCTGTTGTAGCTGGGTATGAGCTGCTGCTGCCTCAGGTGAGGTGTGGTAGCCTCTAGTCTCTTTCTGTTGCTTTGCACAGCAGCTAACCTGCCCTGAGCAGTGGAAGGGGACCACACTCCAGTGCCAGCTGCACTGACCTCCTGCCCCCTCTGCTGTTTCAGTGCTGGAGTCGGACGCACAGGCACTTTTATTGTCATTGACGCCATGCTGGACATGATGCACGCAGAGAGGAAGGTGGACGTGTATGGTTTCGTGAGTCGGATCCGGGCTCAGCGCTGTCAAATGGTACAGACAGATGTAAGTCCGCTGCAATGGATGGATGTAGCTCTGTAACACTGGGCACTCACATACCACTTCCCACGCTCTGAGCACTCTGCAGACAGCAGCTTATCAATTTCAGCACCCTGGTGAGGTGGGTCCATCTCGCTCCTCCTGTAAAATAGAGGTACCGAGGCATAGACAGATGAGGTGACTTGCCCAAGGGCACACAGCCAAGTAGGTGACAGAGACAGAGACAGATGTACGAAGTTCCAGAACCTGCATTCATTCCTTCAGACCGTGGCACTTTTTAACTTCTACCAGTGACTGGAGGCTGGCTGATAACACTTCTCCATCTGTAGTAGCTGGGGAAACTTCCAGTCATTCTCCTCCCTTCACATGGACAAAATCTGTCCATGCCCCCTTCCATTACTACGCAGCCATGGCTTCCTCAGGAGGAGGCTGCTTCTCCCTTGCAGTCAGGCTGTGTTACTAGGACTGGGACATTACCTGCCCCTGTGCCCCTCCCCTCTTGAGTTTTTAGGGTGGGGGAAGGTGTGTGGGAAGATTTCTGGGGGCAGAGCCAACACTGGTGTGGAGCATGCTGGGAGAAGCAACTGTCCTACAGTCTGGGTGGCCTCCTGAAGTGAGGAAGGGGGTGGGGTGGTACACTCTCCCTGCTCCCAGGAGGAGCTGGCATGAGCCACCTGGAATGTCTGCTTGGCTTCCCCCCCAGGGGACACACCGTACAGTTGGTTCATCACTGTTCTGTAGCAGCCTTCATGCAGGGATCCCCACGTCCACTGCAAACCTTAACTAAGCCTGTGTGTAGCAAGCAGGGGTCTCAATCTCCAGTTTACAGGCAGGGACTCTGAGGCACAGTGAGGGCAAGGTCAGTGTCCTAAAAAGTAGCCTCTGGTTTGGAGTTCATCCGTGTCTGGGAGCCCAACCTGAACAGTCTTTAGCAGCAGCCATTTAAACAGAGCATGTGGTGTTCCCTCCTCTCCATGGACAGGGGAAGTCCTGTTGCTCCAGCTCGCTGCATGTGAATAGCTAGCTGTGTAACACACCAGTGCTTCTCTCTGAGCCACTCTCCATTGTTCTGTGCATACCAGGTCTGCCTGGGTTCCCTCCGCCTACATCTGATCTGCCAGCCCGTGGCCCTGCTCTGTAGCTGGTCACTGAGAGCACATTACAAGAGTTTTGTCCTCTCCCAGATCGGAGGGGGGGGAAAGGGGGAAGTTCCCAATGATGTGAATGGAAAAAGATCAGGCTCCAAATGTGTCTGGTGTGGTCAGTGGTTGTGTGTTGTGGGTGACTGGGCTCTAGGCTTCCACCCTTCCTGTGCTCTATCCTAGAGCATGTTCAGCCGAAAAACAGGGAGTTGATTCAGGGCATGGTACGGAAGCTGCACCCTCGTACTGTATTGAACCCCTCCCTTCCTTTTCAGATGCAATATGTGTTTATCTACCAAGCACTTCTGGAGCACTATCTGTATGGAGACACAGAGCTGGAAGTGACCTCGCTAGAGACCCACCTCCAGAAAATCTACAACAAAGTGCCAGGGACCAGCAGCAACGGTCTGGAGGAGGAGTTCAAGGTAGCTGGGCCCAAGCCATGCTGGCTCAGTGCCTTTGCAAAGAGAGACCAGGGCAGGTGACTCGTGAACCTGGCAACCAATCCCCTCCTGAACCAGCAGGGTCTCCAGGGAGAGTAACAGCCAGGCTCCACAAGGCACTGATAGGCAGTGTTCTGCAGAGAGAGCAGCCTTCTGCTGCTTGCCTGGTCTGTTTGCTCCTTAAATATCTAATACAAGGGAGCCTTGCGCTCCCAAGGCCTTTCCCCAGAGGAACATTGCTCTGGAGTGTGTGTGGAGGAGCCAGTGCAGTTTCTCTGTAAATAACACCTGCAAGCCAGCTGGTCAGAGGGCTTGGAGGAGTCACGTAGGGCAGGCTAGCCCAAAGATGAGAGAAAGCAGCTGTCAGCAGAGAAGCACGGACCAGGGCTCCTGACAGGAGCAAGTTTTGCTTCAAATCCAAAACACTCCCTGATCCTTGGCCCGAGCTCCTTGTGCCCCCTGCCTTCCTACTGCTGAGTTCCAGATCAACAGCCAGGACCTGACAGGAGACAGGGCTGAGAACACGGTAAAGCAGAGTGTGTTCTCTCTGTCTGGCCACATTTCTGGCCCCCATCACTGTGGTGTCTTGCAGAGATCAGCAATAGAGAACAGTTACTATCCCAGTCTGACAGATGGGCCACGGGAGCCCCCTAGAGATGAAGTGACTGGCCCAAGGCCACATTGGGAATCTTTGACAGAGCTAGGAATTGAGCCAAGCCTGCTGACCATCCCTGTGAGTCTGGAGGGGTAGGGAGGTTGTAGATCTGATAGCTTCATTGCATGTGAGGCGGCCCAGGCAATGGCATCATGCAAAGACCCACATCAGTGCTCATTAGTTAAGAGGGGAGGGATGGCCTAGCTCAGTGGTTTTCAAACTTAGGGTCGCGACCCAGGACTGGGCGGTGGAGTGTCGGGCACTGGGTGGTGTTGTTGCAGGGGGATCAGGTGACCATTGGGGATGCTTAAGCAGCTCCCTGCCTGTGCTGCCCCCCAGAAGTGGCCGGCAACAGGCCCAGCTCCTAGGTACGATGGAGAGGGAGAGTGCACAGGGCCCCACACACTGCCCCTGCCCCAAGCACTAGCTCCACACTCCCATTGGCTGGGAACCTACTGTTGTAGAATGTCAGGCACTGGGTCTCGTTGCTGCAGGGGAAATCAGGTGACTGGGAGGAGAGGGGGTGCTAAGGCTGGCTAACTGCCTGTCCTGGCACTGTAGACTGTGCTGCGCCCAGTGGGGGTGGGGAGAGAGCACAGGGCTCTGGGCTCTGACCCTGTCCTGAGCACTAGCTCCACACACCCACTGGCTGGGAACCTGCTACTGGCTGCTTCTGGGGTGCAACATGGTATGCAGTGCCAGGAGAGGCAGGAACTGTCTTAGCACTCCTGTTGCACTACTGACTGGGAGCCGCTCAAGGTAAGCCCCTCCTGCCCTAGCCCTGACCCCCCCTCCCCCCAGCCAGATCCCCTCCAACGCCCTAAGCTCTCATCCTCAGCCCCACCCCGGAGACTACACTCTAGTCAAATTAGGTTGTCTTGTGGACATCGGCACTCTTCTTCAACTGGGTCCTGAGAGAAAAAGTTTGAAAACCGCTGGCTTGGAGTAACAGTGGTGGAAACATGAATTCCTTCTGCTGCAGCATATCCCAGCGGCTGGCACTGCTGGCTCACGGTGATTCATTCGGACTCAGCAATTGGCTTGATTGCAACAGAGCCTAAGCAGGCCCGGGGTGGTTGGCTTGGACTGTTGTGAGGCATTTTGAGGGTTGTGCTCTTGGCCTCTTTTGGTCACTTAAAATTGTGGGTTGATTTTATATTCCCCCTATGCAGAAACTAACTTCAATCAAAATCCAGAATGACAAGATGAGAACAGGCAACCTGCCGGCAAACATGAAGAAAAACAGGGTGCTTCAAATAATTCCATGTGAGTGTTTCTTCCATCCTGCCCAGGACAAAAACCCATTCAGGGGACAAACGAAGCAATACAGAGGGTGAGTCATTTGGGAGGACAAGAGGCATCAGGAGCTGCAGAGGAGGTGGCTCTTGCAGCAGCCATAGTCAGTGGAGGGCAGGGGAGGAGCCACTGAGTGGAGGGAGCAGAGTGGTGAGCCTAAGATGGAAGGTTTTGAAAACAAAGGAGGTAAGTTTGAAGTGGATCCTGACATGAGTGGGAAGCCAGTGGAGAGGCACCAGAGCATTAGAGCTGTAGCTGGACTTACCCAGTCTGGCTTTGGGCCCTGCCCTTGCCTCGGTTCCCCTTCTCTAGTTTAGAAAATGTCACTCAACAAGTGTTTCCTCAGTAACACTCTCCCTTTTTGGACGCTTGATTATTAACAGAGTGGAAAACTTCCCCCAGCCTTCACAGTTGGCTCACACCCTGGTGGAGGGCTCTTACACCTGCTCCTGCCCAGGCTTTCCTCTAGCAGCTCCCTACCTTTTGCCTGGAAGCTTAGGGGCCTGTGACTCAGTGCAGAGCAGCTCTTCTGCTCCCTTGAATCTCTCTTTCCATACTCTCCCTGACTGAGCACTCACTGCCTTTTATATCTCCTGTTATAACGGCTTCAGAATCACGTGTGATCTTGTGACTTCTACATTCATTCCCTCCACCTGGGCAAAGCCTGCTTGTTAGGGCCAGCTCAGCCTGAGGCAGGCCATGTGCTCACACTTCTTGGAGTTGGTGAGAAGCAGGCTAGAAGTGATGACTGATTGCACAGCACAAAGTAGACTGCAAGTAGACAGAGCCTGAGCCAGACAACCTGCCATGCCAGTTTTTTTCTGTCTTATCCATCATTTGCATTCCATGTGTCTCCTAAACTGATAGTTGTCTGGGACAACTGTCCGTTATCATTATCCTGCCTTTAATGAATGTATCCATGTAACACCGCTTTGAGGTAGGGAAATGCCACTCTCTCCATTCCATGGATGGGTAACTGAGGTACAGAAAAACTAAGTGACATGCCCAGGGTCACACAAGGAGTCTGTGGAACAGCATGGAACTCAGTGGAGGTCTCCCAAGTTCCGAACTAGCTCCCTCTTCACTGAGCCATCCTTCCCCTCAGCTGTCCCAATTGGACGGTGCGCTTGTGGCTGTGTTAACTGTCATCCTAAGGCTGATGCCTGACTAGCAAACGTCTGCGTTTTGAAAATGTCCCCCAAGCGCCAACCTGCTTGTCTGGCTTCTATTTCAGATGAGTTCAATCGAGTGATCATTCCAGTGAAGAGAGGCGAAGAGAACACAGACTATGTCAATGCGTCCTTTATTGACGTAAGTTTTTATTTCCTTCTATCCATGGACTCTACAGCCTCCACCTCACGCTGGTCCCCATAGCCATGCTGGGCCTGGTCTCGAAACGCTTCCTTTTTAGGGATTTTTATTGTATTTAGATCTGGTGGAAGGTGCTAGACTGACGGGGCACTGGAGCTTAGGCAGAGGCCACCTGCGTTTCCATGCTGCCCCCCCCATGTGCTTCATCGTGACCTGAAAAGATGCATCACAGGGCAAGTTCAGTCTCAACATCCATGCCAAAGGCCTCTGCTGTGTCCCCCCACAAGTCCAATAGCGTTGCAGTGTGGGTACCTATCTTCTAGGCATAGAACTGGGACCACAAGCGCCTCTCATTTGTCCACTGAGCATCCACCAGACAATGCAAAGTAGCACACAGATCTCGAAGCCCTTGACAAAAGCAGATCAGTCTCATTATCCTCCGACTAGAGGAAACAAGGCTGAAAGGGTAAGTGGCCTGCTCACTGAGGCTAGATTGCACAGCCCTTGCTGACCAGTAGTCCTGCTGACATCAGTGGTAAGCCTCGCATGAGCATTCATCTACACACACAGTAAGTTCGTGCTATAGGACCTAGGCCTTCTGACACCTAATCCTGTCTCTACCCCCTCCCCCCCCCGCAGGTGACAGTCGGTCCCAAAGCCAAGTCATTTTTCATAGTAACTGTCCTGGGCGAGATTCGAGCCAGTGACTGCGAGGAGAAAGGTGCTGTTTCGTATTCATAATGCCCTGCTATTGTAATTTTCTGATGAGTATTATCCATAATAGACGGGTCCCGCTATGCTGACCTGTCACTACACTCGCTCCATTCCAAACGGATCACAGTACAAGCAGCCCAGCTGGTGTCCTAGCATCGTGGGTTTGTCATGAATCTGTCAGAGAGCCCATGATGTGATGTAGGCAGCTTGTGCAGAATTCAATTTCCTGCCTCTACTGAACTTTGCTTGACAGACTCGCTCCAAATGACTAAGCGTCTGTGTCCTCATAAAGGAGCTTTTATGGAAAAGAACAGAAACTTTGACTGTCAGAAGTTGTTTTGGTTGTGGAACAGCAGTTGCCATCCTGCACTGGAAATTGCGTTACAGTGTAGGCCTGATTTTTGCTCCTCTCTTGTTAAAATTCATAGTAAAAGTTACATCAAATGTAAAATTGGTAGGTTAGATCTGGACCCAGGGTAACCTTTTTCTATAGCATTTGAAGTGAATCAAAGGCTTCCTTATGACCTCCTAGAAGCAGATTCTCTTCAGGGTCCCAAGAGGCTTCTAACTTTTTTGTTTGTTTGATAGTGGTGGATTTTGTCACTCTGTAGCAAAAACAAAACATGCAAAGAGGAGGAGAAAAACAGTTGAGTTTATTATTGGGCAGCCCTAGCTGTGTTCTGGTTCCCAGGATTAATATTTAGCAGACTAGAGCCTTATTTCCAAAGACATCAGATTTTTAATTTGGACCATCACTGTGGATTGTTGGCTCTAATTAGCCAAGTATAGCTCATCACTGGCTCGCTGGAGACTTGAGCTTTCCTTTACAGAAACAGTAAGATCTGGTCCTGATGTAACTATGTTATTTTAGAGGCCAAACTGGTTAAATTAGTGCCACCTCCTTGTGTGGGCACTTGGAACTAGAATGTGAGGGTCCCTACAAGTGACAGTCAGATGTTTAACTACATCAGTTTCTAATGCAGCGTAGTTAAATCTGAACCATTTTCTCGTGTAGACAAAACCTAAGTCTCTAGTTCTTTACTATAGTGATAAAAATAACACTACAGGATGCTTTGGTTCTGTTGTAGAATAGCAAACAGAGAGTTATCTAGTCTGCTGATTGGCTACTAATGATCAGTTAATAATTTACTAATTGGCTCACATTCAACACTAGGGTACAGATTTAAACGTATACAACAGTGAAAATTTTGTATTTTGTATTTACCAATGAAAATAAGTAATAGACAACAAATATTAAGAGACCGTTTACTAAAAACCAATAAAAAGATCACTAGTCACTTAAAAAATTCACGGCTAGTCCATTGATCTTCAGAGAACTTGACAAGGAACAAACATCAAATTAAAAAAAAAAACCTTTTGAAAATACAGTGATAGTCTCACACTTAAAAAAAAAAAAAAGTCCCCTCCATGTATTTTAAACTTAATACTACTGCCCTATTATGTCCGGCCTTATTTCCTGTGAGTTTTTTAAATTAAACTGAACTGAGAAGTAAATTAGCACAACTTGAAGTGCCTGTTTCACTCCAACCTGTTGATCTCTGGTATGGTTTCCTCGTTTTTTTACTTACGCAGATTATGGCTTCTTTTATAGTTCTAAAAATTCAGTTCTGTCCCAGACTGCAAATATGAGAGGTTCAAAAACAATGAGGGAGAGACTCAGAATAATTGCTTCAGCCTGGCAAACAATTTTCTTTTAAGAAACACAGTGTAAACCAGGTACATGCTGATTCTTTTTTTGCCCTGGAATTTAAATATGACATCTGTGTTGGCTGCCTTATTCTGCATCCACGAAGACTTGAGTTTAAGGTGTTTGTCCTGTCCCCGTCCCCGCTCTAACTCAATGCACCCACCCCTCCCCCAGAGCCAGGCACCCCCAGTGTCCCTGCTCTAACCTAATGCCCTCCCTCTTATTTCCCCCAGAGCCAGGCACCCCCAGCCTCCCTGCTCTAACCCAATCCTGGGTCTCACTGGAGCCGCTGCAGCCACAGACATGCATGTCTTCCTCCAGGCGCTGGGGCACGTGCACAGTGCAGCCGTGAGCAGTCCAGGCATGCGGCTCTGAACAAGCCGTAACATAAGAGTCGCATTTCTTTGAGCAAAGAGACGTGGGTTGGCCACCCCTGGGATAAGGGTTTGGCTGTGTCTAAGTAATAGCCTGTAGTGTGAGTACTCGCCGTGGGGCCATGGCTGAGGCAGCAGATCAAGGCATAACAGCTGACAGAGCGGAGATGAGTGAGGGCAGAGCCTTGGCAGAGCAAGACTGCTGCCATCTTGATATTTTACACATGGATAATGGGACAAAAGTCAGCCTTCAAATCCGTCAAGCGTGTAGGTGCCAGAAAGGAAAAGCAATTGCCCAGGTGATGTGCTGGGGATAAGCCAGAGTAATGGGGCTACATGAGAGGGGAGACTGGAATGGGGCGTATTATCCTGTAGAACAATCTCCCTGTGGTGGAAGCCCTGTCACCTGGCACGTTCCAAAGAGAGTCGCCCCCTCCCCCCCATTCCACTCTGCACTGGCAGGGGGGTGTAAAGAGCCATTTCTGACTCTCAAAGAGATGTAAAGGCCTTGCGCTGCACAGCAAGAGACCTGCACCCAGGTAATCTTCACACATTGTTCCAGTGTCCAGCTTCTGAATGAAAAGGAAACTGGATCCTGGAAGCTGGAGAGGCAAAAGGTTTGTTGCAGCACTGATCCCCTTTCATGTGTGTGCAGAAGACAGCCAAGCTCGCAAGACCAAACAAGTTGGGCAAACAAAGACAAAGTTTTTCACTTCTTACTAGGAAGGGATTTCGAGGTCTGGCTGGTGTGGGGAGAGAAATGGGAGATGCTGAGCTTTGTGATTTCATACGAGCTGTGCTTTGGAGCCTGTGATCCACCCACAGGACACTTCCAGTGAGTTCCCACAGCGGTTCCCACTGTTCCCAGTCCCTCACGGTTCTTTTCCATGTGCTTCTGCCTCATCTGATAGTAATCTCTCTGTGGATGAACTTTTCGCAGGGGCTGTGAGGGAGATCACTGCAGCATTAGACTGTGTCAGGCAGAACAGCTGCTGCTGCAGATGCTGACAGCACTGGGGTGATTTCCAGTCTGCATGTAGTTCTGCTGTCCCAACAACCATGGCTTGAAATTGCAGGGTTATCGCCAGAAGGACTCGTATATCGCCAGCCAAGGCCCTCTCCAGCACACGATAGAGGATTTCTGGAGGATGATCTGGGAGTGGAAATCCTGCTCTATAGTTATGTTAACAGAGCTAGAGGAGAGAGGCCAGGTAAGTGCCTGCGAATAACTAACCTTGTAGCTGGTGGGAAAGCAACATCATTACTGCTCATTCCCTGGTGGGGAAATCATGGCAAGACTCTACAGCCCCTTCATAATCTTGTTCCCTGTTCCTGACACATCCTAGTATATGTAACTTTGTCTGTCTGTCTGTCTCTCAAACCTTGTGGCGCTACCTGGTCTCTAGTTTCAAAGGATTAACATGCTTATAGACTCTCTGAATTTCAGACATGAGGTGATAGGACAGGAACCAAAGTCATTCCACTCCCAAAACACCTCTGGAGCGAAATGGCCTTTCGGGAAGGCCTGTGTGCTGGCCTTGGAGAGCAACATCCCTGTCACACACAGCTAGAGAGCACCATCCTGGTTGCCCCCCAAGCTCCAGATTCAATGGCTGGTCTAGAAAAGCCTTCTCTTAACAGATCCCTCAAGCTGTGAAGGGGAGTTGGGATTTCATGCTGCCACATGGCGGTTTCTCCCCTTATCACCTCTCATGCTTTCTCAGGAGAAATGTGCCCAGTACTGGCCTTCTGATGGCTGCGTGTGCTATGGAGACATCACCATGGAGCTGAAAAAAGAAGAAGAATGTGAGAGCTACACAGTGCGGGACCTGCTAGTAACAAACACCAGGGTAGGAATCTCTCTCCCTCGCCCTCGGAATTAGCTGTAGCTAATCTCTGTTTCTGTGCTGAGGTCCCCTGCAGCTCTGCTTCGAATGCTGATTTCCCCAGGCCTCTCCGCAGCTTCCATAACTCCTACAAAATGACACCTCCACTGTCAGTTCCCTCCCTTATCTCCCCAGTCCCCACTGTCCAATCTCCTTCCCCCTTGTTAACACACACCCTGCATTGACCCTTCCCCCACCAGAAACCCTGTTATCCACTCCCAGCCCCCACCTCCCTACCGCCATCCAGCCTGTACTCTCTCCTCTTTTAGTTCCCTCCTGGGCCACCCAAACCCTGCCTGTTTACAGTTCCCAGCTTTGTCCCTAGGGCACCCACCCTCCACCCACTCCCTTGCCCACTGCCATCGGTTCTCTTGGGCATCTGTTCCTAGTGCCCTTTTGATCATTCTCTTCTAACCTTTTCTCCCAAGCCCTTGAAACAATCTTTCCAGCTGTGCACCTGGACTTACGTTGGGCCAGGGGAGTGAAGTTGTCTCTGTTTTTCTCCTGCAAGGAAAACAAGAGCCGGCAGATTCGACAGTTCCATTTCCATGGCTGGCCAGAAGTTGGAATTCCTAGCGATGGGAAAGGAATGATCAATATCATTGCAGCAGTGCAGAAACAGCAGCAGCAGTCTGGGAACCATCCAATCACTGTGCACTGCAGGTACAGCCCTGTCCGAGCAAGGTGCCACATTTCGGGAAGGCTGTGCAGAAATTGGAGAGGGTCCAGAGAAGAGCAACAAAAATGATTAAAGGTCTAGAGAACATGAGCTATGAGGGAAAATTAGAAGTAGTGGGTTTAGTCTGGAAAGGAAAAGACTGAGGGAACATAACAGCTTTCAAATACCTTAAAGGTTGTTACAAGGAGCAGAGAGAAAAATTATTCTCCTTAACCTCCTAAGGATAACACAAGACGCAGTGGGCTTAAACTGTAGCAAGGGAAGTTTAGGTTGGACAGTAGGGAAAAAAATCCTGTCACTATGGTTAAACACTGGAATAAGTTGCCTAGGGAGGTTAGAATCTCCATCACTGGAGATTTTTAAGAGCAGGATAGACAGACACCTGTCAGGGATGGTCTAGATGGTGCTTGGTCCGACCGTGAGTGCAGAGGACTTGATGACCTCTCAAGGTTCTACGATAAGGAACTGGACACAGCTCTGGTCTTGGGTAACTCGTAGATCTGCAAGCCAGTGAAAGGAGCCGGTGTGGTGATGAATGTCCTCAGCCCACTGCTCAGAGGCAGCATTGACAGTGGGGTACAAGCTTCCCCCACACTGCCCCTGCCAGTGTGCCTCAACCTGGAGCTGGAAGGATCTGGGAGTAATTCTGTTTTTCCAGGCCCCATCCAGTCCCGAGCTTCTCTCCCTCCTCCAGCAGAGACAGTTGAGTTTGTGGGGGTTTTGATGAAATTGGAGACCACTCAGCTCATGTCATGTGATGCCCAAGCCTTCTCCACCATCTGACTAGTGTTTGGTCTCCTTGTTCGGGCCAGACCTGGGCTGGTGCCCAAGAGAGGAGGGAACAATGGGTCAGTCAGTCAGATGGGACGCTTTGCATGAAAACAACTGTCTGTAAATAGTGTTTAAACTAGAAAGCACAAGATGTTCACGTTCCCCAGCATTTCCCTCCCACTGCCTGAGTTGGAGCATCCGTACAGCCAAATGAACATGTTTTGTTCACCTTCTCTGTGCTCTCCTCTTTATCTCTTTGCCAGTGCTGGGGCAGGAAGAACAGGAACCTTCTGTGCACTGAGCACTGTCCTGGAAAGGGTGAAAGCCGAGGGGATTCTGGACGTCTTTCAGACAGTGAAGAGTTTAAGATTACAGAGGCCGCATATGGTGCAGACACTGGTAGGCACGACTTGTGTCTTCATCACCCTGCTCCCTCCTGCCTTGCCAGACCTCAGCTGAGATGTGCCTGCAAACCTTCCTCCCTCACAGCTAAGTGCTTTGAGTGGGAATGTCCCTATGTCAAACCGTTCAGATGGTGGAGAGAAGGAGGATTTTCTTGCCTACTCCGTGCTCCTAACCTCCTTGAGTTCTGCAGGGAGGGAGCACTGAGTGAGGAATATGGAGACCTGGTTCTGTTCCAGGTGCTGCCACTCCTTCCTCTTTTACTCTGGAGACTTATAGGCAGAGGTGCCAAACCTCCACAGCTGCTGCTGAGCTGTGGCTGCCCAGTACCTTTGAAAAGCAGGCCAGGAGCCTGTGCATGAATCAGTTTACCCATCTGTAAGATGCGGATAACGATATTTCACCCTTTTCTTGCAAAGTCCTCTGGGATGTGCAGTTTAGATTGTTTACATACAAGACAGGAAAGGGACTGCGACTGTTATTTAGCCTGACCCCTTCCTAACACAGGCCATTACTGCAGAATACCTCTTCTCGTCTAACTCTCTGCTTTTCCTCTCCCAAACTCCCCAGGAACAGTACGAATTCTGCTACAAGGTGGTGCAGGAATACATTGACGCCTTTTCCGACTACGCCAACTTCAAGTGACAAAACAACAAAAATGACAGAAGAGTTGCCTTCTTTAATATTTTGTAATATTCAGTTTGTTAATATACCCCCCAGATTATGTGTATATATCTTAACTGTTTTAGAGATTGGTACCATAGGCTTCATATTAGCTGGAGATTTTATATGTAGCAAAAGTGTTAGCGCAGATACTGTTGGCTCCTTTTTTCCAATGTTTTATTGGGGAATTAAATAGCGTGATGTTTGGATTAATATTGTCAATCCATCTCTCTGCTGGAGAGGTGATATAGGCTGTTACTTTGTAAATCTTTTTCTTTTTCCTTGAGGGAGTAAAGCCTTTTTAAAAATAATAATAATCTGGATCTCATCTAAAAGCACAAGCTTTTCCAAACCTGCAGGGAAATGGTTTCACATTTCCCTGCTATTCTGCTCTTAAAAACAGAAAGAAAGAGAAAGAAAAATGCTTATTCTGTATATATCCTAGTTTTTGTATAAAAAGAGAAAAAGCAAAAGTTTCTTTCTCTGGGGTTATATAACAAAGTGTCACCAACTGAAAATGGTAGTGGACTAGTAACAGGCAGCAACGGTTGGGATTTCAAAAAAAAGGATTTTTTGCTCCCTAAAGAGAACTTCTATGTATGTGTGCCAGATTTCAGATTGGTCTTATCTGCTGCTCAGTCCCAGCCTTGTTGGCAGGCAACAGGGTAGGTCACTTAGATGTCTGGCTGAACTGCACGTGCAGTCAGGTACGTGGATGGCCTCACCTATTCCTCCAATTAACGAAGGCCATAGTCTGAAATCCTCTGGCTCTGTGTGTGTTCATCAGTGAACGGTAGCTGTGGTGGTGGTGTTGTTAATATTAAGGTTTATTTTCTCTCTGTCTGTCTCTGAAGGCAAAGCCAAATGTTTCACTCTAGCCTTGTGTAGTCTGGGAGTTTCAGCCATTGGTGTCCAGCGAGTGGTGTAGCTTCTCCAGCACAAATGCTTAGTGTGGACAGGCAAAGCCTCTGTGTCACTCTTTGTACCTCTGCTTGAAACTGGGGCAAGCTTCACTCACGCAGCCCATGGCTCCGTGCAGCTTTGCCAGTCTGCGTTGGGAGTGTGAACTGGCACCGTTCCACCCGTGGCTGCAGCTGGGGCAGACCCCCAGTGAAGACAAATCGGCCGTGTTTACTTCATGCTTGTCTTACAACTGCTGAGGGTGCTTATTGACCCGTGTCAGTCATGGGTCGCCTGGCCTGTTTCCTTTATGCTGGGAGGCAGGGGTGCCATGTGCCTGAGCCGTTTCGGCGGTCGTGAGGACTGAGGGAAGGAGTTTGAAGAGGGGCTCTCCTTTCAGTAGGTCTCTTCTAAGGGCTGGCGGTAGGCTTTGGAGCAAGAATGTGGCACTTTAGCAATCCAGACTCCACCCAGCCATTGATTGTCCCTCAGACACCAAGTGTGATCAGCTTCCCTGGCATATCTCTTCCTTCCTGCCCCGCCTTGTGAATAGTCCTTGAGCAGCTGCGGCTAGACTCCCCCCTCAGACCAGTGTCAATCAGGAATAACTCCAGTGAAAGGTGAGGAGTCACACCCAAGTCATACTGGTGGGAGTAAGGCAGAATCAGGTGTGGTGGAGGGTTCTACCAAAGGTAGCACAGGCCCGACTTTGTATTTCCTTAGCAGTAAAATTAAAAGAGAGGAGGCAACCCTTGCCACACTCAGGGAGGCAGGACTACCATAAGTCACCAGGACAAGGGCTCTGATATCAGCCCTAAATAAATACCTTGTCTGCCTGAGTTAACTGTGAAAGACCAGGTATCTTCTCAGTCCTCTTGTGGGAGAGGTCTTCACAAGCTCTGGGTAAATCCTCTCCGTGCCAGGTCAGTCGTGGAAGGGAAAATTATCAAAAAATCAGGGTCTTTTGGAGGAGGGGTTTTATTTTTATTTTCTACACTGAATAGGATACGGTTGAAAGTGTCAGCTGAACAGGCTTGGACGCACGCACGCACGCACACACATGTTCTAGTTCAATACATATAGAAAGTCTGTCTCCTGCCCTCTCTCCCACACACTGAGTGCCCCACCCGTTTCCTCAGGGATCATCTCTGAGTGTAAGATGAGATTTCAGTCTCCATGGCTCAGTCACTTTGGAGGCAGTCTCTGCAGAGAGACCACAGGCTTCCATCTTCTGCTTCGACCCATGCAGTCAGACCCTTGTGCCCATGGGGAGTTCTGCATGTCGGTAGGGCTCTGTGTGGCCCTGATCCAGGAAAGCATGTAAACCAGCACACAAACATTGTATCCCAGTTGGGATGCTTTACTGAATCTGGGCCCATGCATGCCCGGCCTGCCTGCAGGATCAGGGGCTAGAAGCTCCACTTGGGGCCCAGAATGGTGGCATGGATCCCTGTTCTCTGGGACCAGTCAAGAAAACGTGCTGGTGTTGGATGGGAAGGAGGCAGGGACATTACCCCGTGGGTGTATCACACTTCACAGATAAAGCTTAAAAAATGAGTGGTCCTGCACAGATCGTTATCCGATAAATAGATGCATAATGTTTCAGGCCGGAAGGGAACAAGCCCGCAGCCAGAGGAAGCTCCCCGTGTGACCTTCTCCACGGGAAGAGAGATCCCCCCCCGGCAGCCAGGGCTGGCTCAGCAGCAAATGTTGCAGCACATTCCCACGTGCTGTGGAACCCGGCCACCGGCAGCACCTGTGAGGAACAGTCCCTGTCAGCATGACTTTGCAGGAGCTGTACTACATGGGGGGCCCTGAGCCCAGGAAGAGGCCGTTCCAGCAGGTCCTCCCAGCTTTGTGGGGCTTGGGAGCTGAATCCCTTGCATCTCTCGTGAGGGGAGAACTCCCCCGATGGAAGAGTAGGAAGAAAACGCCACAAGGGGACTGAGAACTTTCTAGTTTCCTACAGACTGCCCGTATGGGGATGGTCTCGGCCCATGTTCATGACTCTGCGCGGGCATGTGAGTAAAATACATGTGTGTGTTCTGGACAAGAATAGTGGATCCAAGGACTAGGTTGGCTTGGTGGGTTTAACATACACTGTGTTTGTACGAATGTGCCCAGCCATTTGTGCCATAGAGTGGAATGTCTACTTACAGAATTTACAGATGACGTGTAGCTCGTGTAGCTGAAGGGTCACAAGCACTTTGTAAAGACAGAATTGGAATTCGAAACAACTTGACAAATCAGAGACTTGGTCTGATATCAGCAAGATGAAACTGAATAATGACAGGGCAAGAAAAATCAAATGCACAGCCACCAAATGGGAATATTGGGTAGGTGGAAATACTGCTGCAAAGGATCTGCCTGTACAGTAGATCACAAATTGACTATAAATGAACTGTGTGATGGACTTGTGAAAATGGCTAATATCATTGCGGGATGTGCTGACAAGAGAGCTGTGTGTAAGATACAAGGAGGTAAGTGTCTCATTCTGTTCGGGGCTGGTGAAGGCTCGCTGACGTGCTGTGTGTCTGGGCCCCACACTTCAGGAAAAAATTGGAGAGAGTCCAGGGTAGGGATGTTAAATCTCGGTTCATTGAACAGTCGAGTAACCTCATGAATTTTTATCAGGCAACTGATCTATAGTCCTCGGGGGCGGGGCCAGCAGCCACTGAATCAGAGGCAGCAGTGCAGGGTGCCAGGTGGGTGTTGGTCCATGAGGGGAGCCAGTTCCCCTTGTGAACCAGCTGCCTGTCACCAGGGGCGGCCCGTAAGTATAGGCAGACTCGGCCGTTGCCTAGGGTGCCCGATGATGACGTCACAGGGCGCCCGATGATGATGTCACACCATTGACAGCCATGCAGGCTGGGGGGCCAATCGCGCGTTCCGCCTGGGACGCCAGCTGCCGCAGCCAGCCTCAAACCACTCCTGCCTGTCACCGAGGGTGGCAGCAGCCACCGTCTGTGGGGGTTTGAGCTTCTGGACCCAGTGTGAGCCAGAACTGAGCCAGGCTGCCTGCTTACCTAGCTCCTACCACACTTGAAGTGCAGATCAGCAGCAGGGGTAGATCCCAGACTCGACATGAGCCAGAACTGAGCCAGGCTGCTGGCCAGGCTGCTAAAAAATGAACTGGCAAGGGCAGGGGGAGGGAAATGTGTGTAGTCTATAGCAATAACAGATAAGCTTTTGCTTATCGGTTAATCGACTGCACTATTACATCCCTAATCCAGGGGAGAGCAACAAAAGTAATAAGTTTAGAAAACCTGACCTATGAAGAAATACTAAAAACAAAACACAGCTGAGCTTGTGTAGTTGTGAGGAAAGAAGACTGAATGTAAGCTCTAGCTGCCAGGGCCTGTCATTTAATACGTTTGTAGACTAGAGTGTATAGACAGTGGGGTCAGGCTTAGTTTTGCCATTAAGGTAAATGTACATATTAACAACTTCCTTTAAAACCCAAACTCTCCAAGCTGACACGCACTGTAGGAATGCGTGATCCACCCTGAAGTGCTAGTGAAATCTGTCACAAGGGGTGTGAGTGAAGGAAGTAGAGGGATAGTGTATTCCCAACAAGAGGATTTAACAACAGACAAGCCCAACACAAATCCTGCATTCTTAGTGGAGGGGGCCCTCTAAAGTGTCCTACATTGGGTTTTTAGACAGCTGTGTCCATAAGGCTAAATCCATTGGTGGCTTTGCGTGTCTAGGAAGTTAAGTTCTTTGTGCAGAAGGCCTATGGACGAGTATGGGGAACTGGGTGTAGCTTTTGCCTGTTCTAATATACTTGAACCCCTTTAATCTGGCAACCTTAGGAAATGGGCTATGCTGCATTATGGAATTTTCCAGACTCTAGGTATTTGCCATAATGAAGGGAGGTGGAGATGTGGGACCTGGGAGGGGGGAGGGAGAGGCAGGAGTGTGCTGAGGTTGCAGGGTCTGTGAGGGCTTCCAGACCAGTGCTGTGCTACCTTCCCCCATTGGGGGAAAGGGAGAGTAGCAGTGCACAGAGCTGCGAACCACGGGTGTTCCTGAATCAAGTGTTATTGCATGTGGGTGTTTAATACCCAGGATTGGTTCGAGAGAAAGGACTGAGATCTCCTAGGGCTTGCAAGTAGCATAAAATGTAAAGGATATGATGGGGGGGTCTCTCCTCCGATTGTATTTGTAGAGAGAACATTTTCCTCAGCTATAGAATTTCATCTGGAAAACTTGTGTTTGAGGCCAAATTTGCAGCCATTCCCTGCACACCGCTCCAGTTGAAGCTGATAGGTGCTCTGCTCCCCGGGCATTAGGCCTCAGTTCTCCACACA